CCTCAGCTCCCTAATGGCGTGGCGCCCGAGTTACTTGGCGACATGAACTGGGGGTGCCTGGGGGGAGATTTTATGGAGGTGCACTGGTCAAAAATGCCAGGAAGAACTTTTGTGCAAAAAATATTCTTACTGTTAGCTATTGAAATGTACTGATATCTGAGTATATATTTAGTACTTGTTTATAGCTACAATAAGTGACCAATAACAAAAAGAAGATCATGGTAGCCGATAAACTTGTAATCAGGGTCTTATTTATGCTTAGAAGGCTCCATGCTAAGCATCAAGAGTGAATCACCTGGTATTTTCTGTTCATGATCTGATAATTGACTTTTGATTATGTACAGTGAAGTATAATTATAAAAAAAGTTAAGTCATTAAAGTCTTGCATTGATGTTGTGATAAAGTGAAACATATAGGATATTTGCTCGTAAGGCGGATGACCTGATGGCAACTTTTTGGTCGAAGGAAACTTATGGTATAAACTCCTTTGAGTACTAGAACGAGAGAAATATTACGCGCCCTTTGGCCCACCCAGAGTAGCTGTTAGAAAAAGTGACATACCGAGGTACCACACATGAAAATTTCATGAAGGGTTGATGTAATTGGTGATTTTAACCCCTCTCCCCACCCCTTCCTTGCTTGTGGCACAACGAAGCCAATCATTGCAGTTGTTAAAGCCAAAATAAAAACCAATTGTCAAGTTATCTAGCCGCCATTTTCTTCAGGTCATCATGCAAGGCTTCATAAGGCCTGACCGACTTGACTTCCATGTGTACACAGTCTCCCATCTGCCTCATCATGGGCAGGTCAAACGAAATACGATCCACTTCGTACGGACTCTCCACACATAACAGGATGTATACCTACAACACCAGAAAGTTCATAAACTATAAGAAACATGCGCAGACTATCATTTACTTACTTCAAAGGCGCTTGAAAACTACTGAACACTTAAACAGCCCAGCCTGCCACTAGTCTCCTATTACTCGTTGGTAGAGCATTCGAAGTACTCATCGGAGGGTCGTAGGTTCCACACCTATTAGGAGCGCGCACTTGGAGTTCTTTTACTCAGAGTATGCCTTGGCCTGTGTCACTCACTGAAAACATCATCTTTTAACTGGACACTGATCGCACAATTTGAACCATTTTAGAAAGACTGTTACCAAAAGGGGCCACGATATCACATCGATCATTGGCAGCATCAACCAAATTAGATCTGTTTGGTTGTAGGGAAAGACTTACCAATATTGATTGAATCAACGATTCGAATGTCATTACTGTTTTATCCGAATGTATCAACTAGAATCACCAAATCAATTTAGAGGCCAGCCAAATCAAATTTTATTAAAAACACTTTTTCAACGGACCAAGCAAAGAAATACATCCTTCTTTCTACCTCGAACAAAGACCAAAAGAATGAGGCTGGGGAGTGGAAACGAGCCACGATGTCATTTTCAAAACGTTCAAAATATTCTGTTAGTCAAAAGCTAATTTAGGCGGGAAAGTTTTTTCTGTGAGTGCGTGATGACGTTGAGATGCGTGAGAAGTGAGATGCATGAGACGTGAGATGCGTAAGTTAAAACATGCCTTAGTCCCAAAGGTAAACTATTGTTTTCGTCGTTGTTTTCTTCTATCAAAGAACAGGATGCATCATGAAGTATGGAGTTGTGTGAATACTTTGCTTACCTTTCTTTCTCCCACCACCTTCCACAAGTCGACCACCTTCCCGCTTTTCTTTCCTCCTAAAGCAGCTTTGGCCTCCTGTAACCAAACGGCCAACAACTCGTCTTGCGTCTTACCTGCATCAATGAAACAGAATTCAGCGAAATGTAAAACTCGCAGAAAATACTTTTATTTGATGAACTACTCCTGAAGGATTCTCTCTCAGAAGCGCTCCCATGCTCCACTAGTGTGCCACAGAGAACTCGTTGCTAGGCTCTTGTAAGCCATTAAAAGGCGAAGCATTGTGCATTGGTGAGATGGGATTAAAAAAAAATAATGGTATTTTAACAATGAAACACATGCTTAATGAAATGAAGTCACTGAAAAGACGAATAATATTTTTGTAGTTTACGACGAGGTAACTAATGTGATGGCCTTCCAGTCTTACCTGGGTATTCTATAATAAACGTTATCCAGTAGAAAAGTCCTGCTTTCGGTACAGTAGGTATGTCTTCAAACACCGTTTCATCCCCATTATTAACTCTTTTACTTATATCTGTTGCTAGTCCCGCGTAAGGTCTGAGGGGTGTCACCTCCATTTGTACCTGATCACCCATCTCCTTAAACATTGGCAAATGAAATGACAGCCTATCGATTTCATCTGGATTCTCTGCTTTCATAACTGGAAACAGATTAAAATTTCGAGGGAGCGTTCACTTACTGGAAGTTAAATTTTAAACCAATTTTCTTCAGTGAGTTTATTTTCTTCACTTACCACAAAATACTTTGCGCTCTCCCACCAACTGAAAGTGTTAAACCAAAACAATCATTTACATCAAAATATTACAAAATTTAATCTCTTGTTTACGTCAAATGGCAAAAAGGAGTGATAAAACATAGCTATGTACCCTATTCATATATAACTTGAGACAACTTTTGACAGTTTGCGTCGCATTCTTCTCCGATTTGAAATATGTGAAATTTTATTTCAATGTCCCGAAACTGACACCTTTTACTGCCTTTTAACTAAGAGACCGAGAAGCTAAAGAGACTGATTTTTGCCCGAGTAACTCCTAAATATCCACAGATCTTTGGTGTTACCAATGACGCTCTTATTTGTCTTTGTCGTGCTCAAACAAAAAAGTCATAATGCCGATGGTTTGTTCTGAACTGATTTTATTTGATCAAACTCAACAAGATTTGGTTCACGTTCATGGCAAGACGACTCGCATGAATGATTTCGGTTCGATAGACACATTCAGATATTATTGTTCAAATAGTATTTTTTTCATCAGAAGTTTTGTAATTCCCTGACACAGAGAGGCATTTTCCAATGATTCATTATAGGCTATTATTTCCAGAGACTAAAGCTGTATTGTCCCAAACTTGTACGGACCCGAGGTTATGGAGGGTCTGAGTTTTCTTTGTTGTGATAAATTTGTGGTTAATTACTAAGACCTTTTGGTCTTTTGGGAAAATTTGAAAAACAGCAGCCGGTCAGTAAAGATGAACGACTCAGATGTTTCAAAAAATATATTCCTACCTTCCATATCTGTAGTATTTTTCCCTTCTCCTTCGCTTTTAGTGCCACTTCTGCTTCTGCTGCCCAAGTTTTGATAAATTGTTCTTGTGGTATTCGTTTGTACTCAATGGTAAACTTTATTAAGTACAGTAAGCTCATTTTAGAACCAAACGCTATTGAACGCAAGAACAGCGTAGTTTTCAGGAACTCCCGTACAACTTTTGTTTGGTACTTTGGTATTAACTTTATTCCATAAAATTCGCTGTATTGAACTGCAATATTTTCTCCTACAAAAGATGCTAACATATTCAAATTACGCAAATCAACTGACAGGGATAATTAATGAATTTTTCTGTAGTTAGCATCATTAGTTAAATAGATTGACATACCGGCGGATTGTCGCTGATTGCGAGTTGAAAGAAATCAGAAGTTAACGCTAAATGTGTTCTGTAGCTCAACTTAAGCTTTAAAATAATAGGGAACTTTTCAGCTACGTGCTAAGCAGCAATGTAAGTTTATTTCTCGGAACGCGCAGTGACGTAAACGGGGTCAAGTGCGTCGAAGAAAAGCCTATTGGATTTTACGTGCAAAAGTTAGTTAGTTTAGTCGGCTCAGAGCAAAGTGTATTATTTGGAGTAATACAAGATATCAATCTCCTCTGGTTTATGTTGTGCAAAGTGAATCACTTTTTCCTAATACTCTCGATACGCACAGCACCAGGCACTGTGCGCGTTAGACCAGAAGATGTGGACTACTCAGTTTTTTAATTGAAAACGGTTCAATACGCGAACTCGGAGAAAAACGTGATTCAAATGTGCTCGTTACGTCAGCTAAAATATAAATGAACTCTAAGCAATTAAAGGGAGTCAGATGAAAGGCTAAGCAAAAATTCCTCTACTAGTGGGGACAATATGATAATGAACAACTACAGATGGCGCCTAACATGAACTTACACGGAATCGAATTCCATTAATTCTTGACCACAGAGATAAGTCGTATTTTTCGGCTTTCTTTCTTTTGTTTCATGTTATTTTTAATTTTTCTGCAATGGCCCTGTTTTGCTCTCTCAGTATTAAAACGGCCGCGTGGATATAACCCTAATGATGTTCATCGGGGGTATCTGGTACTTAACCCTCTCAATAATTGTTTTTATATGTCTCTAACGTCTGAGCCGCCTTCCTTCTTTTACCAATCATCTAAGAAAACATAGCAAGCTGAAACTATCGTCGATGCATTGCCGACGTCAACGACAATCAAAACTGATTCAAAATTGATCATCGACGAGCGTTAGGAAAATAGAAATGGTCTTTGCTTCTGTCCAACCATCCAGGCGAGAGGAAATGTCTGAGATTAAGGATTAGACTTAGCTTTCAAAATCTAGAACGGTCTAGAAAGCAGCGGTGAAATTCCATTCTTTGGAGTTTTGCCTACAAACGAAAATCTGCTTACTATGAATAGATGCAAAAGACCATAAGGATCTCTTTATAGATGAAATTATTTAGTCTCGTTCCCAGTGTCTCTCTCCATCCCATTCCCAGAGTCCCTGATATGCCCCTCTTATAGCCGGAGGAATTTTAGAATTTAAGGGTCGCTAACATCATAAACACTTGAAACAGCGAAAGCGTAGAATTTTAATTTTGTATTCGATTTACCTGAAATCTGCCAAAGTTTTTTCGCATTCTTAACCATTCATGTCGTATGTATCTAAGAAACATTGACAACCCTTCTTGCTTTCCATGGCTGGCCGCGAATGCAGATGAATTCGTCACTTGACATCTTAAATCTGTTAATACAACTATATTAAGTATCTTAGAGCTCTGACTTTTTCTTAATAGTTTAATATATCATTAACTACGTTCTAAATTCAATTCAGTGCGAGAATGGTTTACAATCCGATGGCCCTATTACATGCTTGTTATTCTGCTAGCTTTTGTAGATCTTTGGCCCATTCCTCTATCGGCCGTATCGACTTGCAATCTATATGGACTTTGCTTCCCATCTTTTTCATGACTGGTAAGTCCAGTGACATTCTGTCAACATCAGTCGGATCATCCACACAGACAACGGCTATAACCTGAAAAACATATCATAAGGAACGTTTGATGAAATTTTGGTGATTTTCTATGTGCTTATGCACATCATTTGTGCAGAAGCAAGTGAAATGCGCCTTAGGCGGCCTTAACGTTTATGAAGACCTGAGTTCACAAAACTGATCTAAAACCATCACAAAACTGAATGACTGAATGGGTTGTTCGCGCTGTGATAATATTGGGCATTATCACACAGCCACAAGTGAAAACAATAGATTAGTTAAATGTTTAATTAAGTACTCGCTTTGTACGGTATCAGTTTAAAGTGATAGTTACTTTACGTTCCGCTACCACTTTCCACAAGTCCAGGATGATTCCAGACTTTTTTGCCTTGAGAGCCTCTTTAGCCTCCTCAGCCCAGACAGCAAACAGGTCCTGTTGTGTCATGGCTTTGGAAAAGATGAAATAAAAGGAGACGAGAAAAGGTGAGAGAAATTGATTATAAGGATTCATCTGATTCGGATAAAGCCTAAAATGTAGCTCGAACCGAAATTGGTGACTCATATGACCGCGAGGTCCATGGCATTATGAGACAACATCTGCCTGCCCATTGCAACAACGCTCTAACCAACCCAACGAGCCGAGTTTACGTACAGATAATCCCTGCATTCGGCGCTCTATTATAATGTCTTTCAAGATTGTCTTCAATGTATATACCCAATCATTATCTATATAATAAACAGAACTTAAAAGTCCACTGGTGGATTCGGTTTTATCTCGAGTTGGTAATATCTCTCACTCGTTCGCCTCGCACACTCGTGAGAGATAATTTAAACACTGGAAGATAAAATTCGTATGCACCAGCGGTCATTAAGTATCCTCTATATCACATATATCTTACTAAGGTCGTATTCCACAGTAAACGTCAGGATGTAGAAGAGGCCGTTCTTTAAGGTGGACTTTTCATTCCCGTATTTTTCTCCGTTCCCAATTCTATCGCTCACATCTGTCGCAAATCCTTCGTATTGTCTCAACGGGGTAAATGTCGAGTGTAACTGATCTCCGATAGCCTGGTAAAGAGGAAGCTCGACAAAGCAAGTGTCCAGTACTGAGGGTGACTCCACTGACATCACTAAATAAAAAACAGAAGGCAAAAGCATGGCCTTAGAGTCAGTTCTTGTCTTCCGTTTTTAATGATGTTTTATCATTATGTGCAATTAAACAATGCGGCAATAAATCAAGAAACAGCCGGAGCAAACTGACTTGTTCCATCATTTTATTTGATTTTTTTTTTGGCATTGAATAGATTTAAAATCTTATGGAGACCAAAAATACGAAAGAAGAAATCGCGTTTTTGCAAACCCTTTTCTGAATTGTCCAGATAGCGTTTCTAAAATTATTTTGGAGAAAAAGACAGTGACTAAACACGAACTGCGGGCAAAACTACACGTAATTTTTCTATTCATGATAAAGCATACATTTTCTGATGATATAGCTCTCCGGAATCGAGCGACAGATACAAGAGGCCCGCTACCTCTACCCGATACTCTAATGAGCCCTCCGTTTCCCCATCGCTAATTCAAAATGGATAGCTTTAACACACGATATTGAGCATTCAGGTTCTTTACTTTGTTATTTGTGGCATGAAAACGGTTTATCTAATTGATTGAGATTTAATTTTATTACCTCCAAGAACTTTTCTTTCTCCAGCTATCTATAAAGTGAAGAGACGGAAATAAATGGAAAACTAGTCAAGCTGTTAAAGATATCATCAATTGCTGTTAGAAGTACTTTCCGATTCACTACAGGGGCGGAAACAGGAATTCTTTTAGTAGGGGGTCGAAACTTTTATAAAGAGGTATCAAAGTAATAAACACGCGGTTGAAGCCCTGTCTTCAGAAGAATTTTGGTTTCAGACAGGAGGTAAAAAACCAGCTGTGGGGTGGGAGAAGACGGAACTCTCGAAGCTTAACCCCCGGATCCAACACAACACTTTTCTACCGTCTCGGCTCACCAGGTGAAACTCGGCCCACGATCTAGCAGGTCAAGAAAGTAATAAGCAAGAATCACTTCGCAAAAATGTGTCTTGTTGAATATTCACTGGCTCAGTGATCTGTCTTAAGCAAAGCAACACAAATCAGTTAAAGCTAGCTTTCTGGAGGAGGGGGCCAGGCGGTGGAGGAGGGGGCGGAGGAGCTAGGAGGGGCTGGAGTAGGAGGGTGGGGGAGGAGGGGGGGAGGAGGAGGTTGGTGGAGGAGGGAGGAGGAGGAGGGTGGAGGATGGGGATCTCTTAGTTTTCAAGGGGAGCGGAGGGGGAGCGGTCGTCACCAATCGAATATTAAGGAGGCACATCAGAAAACTGACTGACAGTTTATTGTCATGGGGGGGTGCAAAGAATATTATAGAACCTGGGGGGGGGGGATTAAGATAATTTAACGTGACATTTTCAAAATCTACCGACAATCCCTGGTGATAAATAATGATCGGTTCCCTTAACCTGATAGATGGCTCCTCTCTAATCCGTTGCAAATACTATATGTTATCTCGTACCAGACCTTTCGTGGTTGCAAGTTATCGTTACATGGTAGGATCTGGGTACGAGATTCACTAATTGTCTTATCCTCTCCATACATAGAATTTTGGTTGCTACCCGTCAATAAAGACATATAATGCTGTGCGTCAGAAATATTTAAGCAGCAAACCAGGTTCTTGACCTTTCCGTTCTCAAAATAACTTTTCCGCACATGAAACAATTTTAAAAACCTCACAAACATGAAATAACCATGCCCCTTTGGCTCAGTAGGGAAACGGAGAATGGTCGAAAGAAACACAATTTCAGTTGCTCAAAAAAAAAAGGCGCTTCGGAGAAATTTTTTGATTCGTGCATGTTGAATTGACACTCTATTGAGATGTGACTTAGATGTTAATCTATCTATTGTCACTTCAAGTGCGGATGTTGATTGATATCTGGAAAATTCACCAAATTTTGGCGTCTCGAGTCCGCAGTTTTGGCAATTTTGAAAATTTTATTCATGTCAAACCTTACATTTGGTACGGAACAGAGACGTTAATGAGGCTTTCGGCAAAATGACTTCTGTCGGTAGCAGGAGCTTCCTTACATTGTCACTGCTTTACCTCTCCATTCTAGAATTTTTGTGATATCCACACAAAGCTACAGCGCGAGCAGATTAGAGACTACTGAGCTCGTGAATTGTCTTCAGTGGAACAGAGTAGTCATCATTTATTCAAACGCGAAATGATTCGCCCCCAGTTGTCTCATCTATGTCAAGTAGCCACCATTCAGTGGAATTTTTTTTTCCATTCTTACCCCCAAAAAATGGAGAGAGGCTCGAACTCGCCCTTCTTGTTTGATGTCTAACTACATTCCACACATACTTGAAAAGTATAATGCAGTCTTCCCGAGAATCTATCGGTGAATATTTTGTTCATGGCCGCTATAAACTATTGTCTCTTATCGCCCGGTAGCGTCTGCTGACGCACGCTGATTCAAAGCTTATCGCCTGGGCAATACAGGTGGAACGAACTTCGTTAAAATCAGATATCAAAATTCAATTTACTGTTGCCAAAACAAAGATCTACAGGCATTATGTTGCGGCGATCAAGTTTAAATGTATTCCATAACAATGTCCGTTTATATTTAGAATATCTTCTTGTATTGTCACGAGAATATTTCGAGAGTGGCATCTACAGACACTGTTGAAATAAGATCCTTTGTGTTGGGACGCAAAGAATGTAGTTTCTTTGTTAATCCCTTAAGATTAATGTGCTATGGTATAATCGTCGTATAAAGCGACTATCAACTGGTATTATGTATATAAATCGTACTCTGCTCCTACCTTGAAGGCATATTTCATAATTCCTTGTTCGTACATCTTAAAAGCAGCTTGAGCGTGCTTGAACCATAGTTGATAAAGCTCTTTTGAAGTTATCCCATGGTACTCGAGGCTTGTTTGAAAGAAATATAACAGCGACATTGTGATTTCTAGCAGAACGGAGATAAAAGATCGTCTACGGCCTGAAATATTGTCAATTCCACGAATCGACTGGTCTTAGGACGGCGGTTAATGTGGGTGTTTTAACCGGTTGCTTCCTAGTTTGTCAGCGAATGCTTTAAGGAATGGCTTAGTTCATATAGCTGCAGGCTAATGGGTTAATTCATGGTGAGGAAGTACACAAATTGCATTATTTTCAATGCTGCGATTCGATTGGTTAAAACGTAAATGTCTTATATTATTGTGTCTTTTGTTGGGTTCCTTAAACGAGTATTCAGCTCATTTTGGATGCCATTGGATGTTATCTTAAGCTTCCTTGACTTAAATTGCGAACTTAATCACTCAAAGAAATTATATTTCAATTTTTGAGAACTTTTCAATGGTCTTTGAAAGAAGTAATATCAAAATATTTTGTGTTCGATTTTCAAAACAAAGGAAAATGTTTTTTTTTAAAAACATCTGTATTTATCTACCTATCATTAGGGATATCTCTATGTCTGTTTGGATACTGTAGCTTCATGCTAAATATCACTCACTTCATTATATTGCCTTGGCCGGCTTAAGTTAAATGCTCTTGAACACAATATACCGTGTTTTCTTTATTTTCGTCGGCAACAAAAACTGAAGAAGCCGTCTCAAGCAATATCTGATCTAGTAATTTCGATTAATTATTGTTTCGTACAACGAGAAAACGTAACATTAAATGATACATAAGGATGGGTGACTTTCATCCGGCAGTTGTGAAGTGCTTCAAGATTATAGCTTCCTTTAGGTTTTTACTGTAAGTTAAGCCTTGAATTGACCTTGTTTTGTGCGCGCAGCCGACTGTGCCAGTGATGTCGGTTGCACAGAAGTTAGGAATGTGCAACTCATTCATTTTTCCACATGAAGAAAGTATTTAAATAGTATATTCTTTCGTAACCCTCGTCTGTTTGGTAAATAGGACTTCTTAAGCGATGCGGTGTTTTTGAATGATGCGCTAGTAATTGCACACTTTTCTTTCAGCGTACCGCAATCATCTGTGGTTTCAACTTATTTAAAAGGGCGAGTCACAGAAGCGTTCGCGGTTTCGATTAATTATTCTCGAAAAAGCACCATGAATAACGAGACATTTCAAAGCAGAAAATATAAATTGTTATCTAAAGAAAGCTTTTCTTCTGATTAAAACATTTTTCAGTTACAGTATCAGGTATTCGAAAAAAAGGCCCATACAGCTCTCGTGCAAAGATGTTACTGCTAGCAAGTCAACGCTGTTCACCTCAGTTTTTATTTAATTTTAGGACATATTACAAATGCTTAAAATTCAGGAATTATCTCCTTGACCCAAAGGGCACAACCTCGACTAAGTGGAATTAAAATATATGTAATTTTTAAAATAATTTTTGGTTTTTGTTCTTTTTAATTGTGAATGTTCACAAGTCTTTCCTAATTTGTCTAGTATCTTTGCAATTCATTTTCGTTTTGTTATCTCGATCCTAGAAGCAGTAAATTGAACTAAAAGATAAAAGGAATTAACGTAAACACTCTATATCATCTCATTGTTTTTTCCTTTGTATTGATCGCTGAGAGTCTTTTATTTTTCCTACTGCGGCCGTAAGTGATATTATTATTCAAAGCTGTTTCCGCTGAATTTTCAAACTCAGTGGTCAAGAAAAATTAAGTGTCAACAACAACTGATATTGTTATTTTATGTCGCCTCTGTTTCTGCCTGATATTAATCTGATGTACATCGGGTCGGTGCCTTCGCTAACAATCTTTGTCGATATTTCCTTAATCTGTGTGCTTAATGCGAGTATCGATTTTATAGAGATAGTTTATTTTGAACTCCCCTAGCAATGAATCAGTGATATGCTTCAAATTAACCAGAAAAAGGGAAAGAGAAATGAAAACCACATCCTGAAAAAGGAAAACTATGGCAGACGAAATATTGGCTCACATTTTAATGTTTACACACAAACTAGTGTAACCAGGCTCAGCACATGAATGCCAGAAAGAAAGAAAATTTTTGTTCGTTAAATTCCATTTTCGATTTTTTTAGGAATTCATTACCAATATGTAAATTTTTATTTTGCGAAACATCTTTAAAAAAATACTAAAAAAATACCGGCAAAAAAAAATCGCTCGGATGAAAAGCTGAATTAGCCACGGAAAGTCGAACAATATCTGCTTTATTTTTTTTTTCTCTTCTTTTTTTAACTGCTGAAATGTTTGGCAGAAATCCTTGATGTTAGACACAACGACACCTACTATGTCTGGCCTCCATTCATCAAAGAACAACGAACCAACCCGCTTATAATCATCAAAATAAATTCTACCGTTAGGACTTAACCCGAATGCTATATTAAGACCATTAAGAATGTTGGCCACGTTAATACATTGTAATCAGGCAACTGACAATTATAAAATTTACATTAAAACGATTTACTGGACTGTTATCGCTTAATTAACTTCACACTGAGCGCTTCCGTCACGCTTATTGTTTCCAAAGCCACACTTCAAAAGTCGTTTGTAATTCGTAAGGAATGCTTCCATACGAAAACAATATATCCACGGATTCATTGCAGAATTACTCAAAGCTAGTGTTCTCGCCCAGTTGTATGCCACTCCAACATTACTTTGGGCATAGGCGCTGCGAAGGTACATCAGTGGAATCCAACAAATTGTGAAGACTATGACAACAATAGCAACCGTGACTGTCACGCGACGTTCAACCAATTGTGAGGCACTCTGTCTTGCGTGACTATGAACAACGTCACGGTTCCAAACTTTAAAAATGATCAATGTGTAGCAGCAAATGATGGTTAAATAACAGATGGCCGCAGCAATGACGGTGAAATAAGAAGTTGCTTTCTTGATCACTGACATTCGCAAAACACCATAGATAACCGGAACAATCCAGGCGATAAGTAACGCTAACTTGAACCTCTTCAGTGTTCGGATCGCTTTGCTTTGAACTGGTCGGACAATAAGGAGACAGCGATCGATACTGATAAAACACAAGTGGAGAACCGAAGCTGAGCACGACATGTTCCCAACAACACGAAATGTTTCGGACACCGGCTCGTTACATTCGCGATTTACATGAAGCCCCCAGAAAGCTATGAGCAGCGGCTGACCCAAAGCAGTGACCATCAAATCGGCCACAGCCATACTCGCCAACCAGAAGTTGGGAATAATCTGTAAACTCTTGTTGGTGTAAACTGTAGCGATCACCAGGGAGTTTCCGATGGTTCCCACGACACTTGACAAAATGTTAATTGGAATTAACGCAATTATGTGAGAAACTGGTAGGAGACAATCATCTAAATGGGATTCATTTGATGAATGATTCATGATGCAAGTGAAAGTTGTCCTTCCACACGCCTTCAATCACTCAAGTTCTTCAGAGACTGTAATAACAGCTGGCAGCAAGGCCTGCAAGGCTGTTTGAAATGCAGCAAGAAATATTTCGATATCTGTCCTTTGATATAACTCAATACACGGCTAAACTGTACTAGATTCAATCAGGAAGCTACACGAATGAAAGCGAAAATGCTGAAACACGATTTAGCACAGAGTTGCTTCATCTGTGACGTCATAGTTGTGGCTGGGATTTCTTAGATGTCGTACATTTCTGCTTCCCAGTGCTTTGAAAACTAGTCTTGAAGGTTTTTGGGAGTTTTAAACAAAAAAAATCATAATAAATGGTGGTCGAATGTTGGCTATAGGCTCACGGATTTGTTTTGTTTTGTTTCGTTTCGCTTTTTTCTTTTCAGAACTTGACAGAAGAACTCGCTAAGTAAATTGATTTCCATTACTTAATGGTTCAATTTAATCAATCGTTAACAATTAACTTGCATCTATCCTTGCATCATGCTTCAAACCACGAGCTCTTGAGCTCCTGTTCAAACATGAAAGTTTACGTGGCTTTGCCCCCTCCTCCCCCCCTAGTAAAAACAAAATAAAACAGGGGAAAGACGAACATACAAGAAAGCAAAGGAAAAAAGAAATGAGGTGAAATTTTTGTTCTGTATGATTTAACTGATTAGGCAGTTCATCTACTTTTTTTTATCACTTGCTCCTGATTTTTATTTGCATTACTGTCTAAAACGTTAGATCTGTAAGAAAGTCCTGGCAGTCTGAAGAATGTTTCACACATGAACCATAGTTTCATAACCAAGTTACGCGAGTCTCCTAAAAGCTTAGAGATAGAGCCTCTGAGGCACTGTTCTTAAGTTTATGGGTTTCGCTGCTGGAGAAGCGATCAGGTTTGCATTGTGTAATTGTTTGTTTTCGAGTTCCAGCCAGAAACATCAAATTTAACCTTCTCTTTGGGTGCCTTTCTAAGAAAGAAATTATCGAGATGAAAATCATTTATTCATAGCTAATAAGAAAGCGGTCGTTTGTCATCACCTGCTTATATTTTTTCGTTGTCACGCACAACACAGCACCAATATAACCGGAGTCACGGTCGGAGTCACGCAAGAATTATGTCACGCCACGCGGTTTCTTGCATCGTGAAGATATATTCTTTGTTCGCGTCGTTCGTAATGGAAGCAAGCTCGAGACCTGTCGTTGTTCGTTTTCCTGCTATCATACTGCCAACTGAACTTCAAAAAATGGTAGATGAAGCTGACATCGATATGATCGTCGCCAATCCTAGCGAAGTTTTTCAAATGAGCGAAGAAAGTACTCGAAGAGTTGCAGGAATGGTGCTTTACACAAAAACATATTGTAAAATAAGCGGAGAGTTGATGGATTGCTTTCCTAATCTCAAAGTTATCAGTAATTTTGGTGCTGGTGTGGATAATGTTGATGCAGTGGCGGCCTCTGAACGTGGAATTGCTGTGGGAAACACTCCTGGAGTTTTGTCAGATTGTACAGCAGACATGGCATTCGCTCTGTTAATGGCTTCCGCGAGAAATATAGTGGAAGGTGACAAAATTTCTAAAAGTCCCGAAACTAAACAGGTCAGTTTTAATTTTGATAAAGGGAACGATCAATAACTGATTTTCAGGGTTTTTTTTTAAAATGGTATATTATTGTAAGCTCATGTAAGCCTCTGTTCAGTCAGGAGGTTTCGTGATTGCTAAGTACGTGTAGCCGTTTCTCCTTGGGGGGAGGGTACGGTTACACTTGAGCTGCGTGATTTGCGTGACAGTTAGCGGAATCGAACGAGCAGGCCCTCTAAATTCACAAAAAACATACTTGGATGGCAAAAAGAAATACCTATGGATAAATCTGAATACTATGAAAAATATGATTAATCTAACTTACTGAATTCCCTCAAAAACAATAAAATTAAATTAAATGTACATTGTTGAATGAATAGTGACTTAATATGTACTTTACGTATGTTTTGTATTACACTTCTATAAATAATACATCTGTGATGAAAAAGAAAAATTTCGTTTACTCCCAATCAAAATTTGAAAAACGTAAGCGAGCCTGCAGAGCTGGCGTAGTTTTGACGAGCGACTCCTCAGTATTTTGTTGTTGAAAATTATAGCTGCGATCTTCAATTTTTACGGCGGCAGAAGGCTGGGGAGAGAAAGACAATGTACCAGTGGGGTGAGCGATGGTCAAAGGGAACGGGGGGGAGGGGGTGGGGCAATTGAAAAAACGCCGTCTTCGCGGATTTTCTTCTTCCTTTCCCTCCCACCGTCCACTCTAACTCAAAATCAAACGTTGCCGGTCGAATAAATGATCGTGAGCTTGTAACGTTAACTTGCTTTAATAAGGCGCCTGCACTGCAAGCTAAGCTCAAGCATTCCCCTTAATTTCGTCTCCATATTTATATTCTAAACCAAAGCTTTTTCTCGAGCGGAAGAAACTAAGGGAACCCTAGATGCGAGCGATTCGATTTGATTAAAATATTGAGAGGTCTCTGGGGTTGATGAAGGCGGGGGGGGGGGAGGGGGAGGGGGATTGGCTTTTATAGGTTGTACTGGTAACAGTTAAAGTAGCTTATTATACTCCTAGCATTGCTCGGATTTTTTCCAAATTATGCTTTGCTTTCTCGGTTTTGAAAATCAAGCTACTTTTTCTTAAATTATGCTTTTCAAAAAAGAAACGCAAAACAAGTCCAAATTATACATTTATTGTTAATACCTTCTTTATTTTGGGTTATATACTCGCTCTGAAAAAAACACAGTCAACAACTGCACCTAATTCCAGACTAGAAACGGAGACTCCATGTATCTGTTAGCATCACGTTTCTCTTCGACACCATTTTGTTGCCTATAAAACGGGAACTGGCATCGAAGGCCACGGGGGTGGTTGCCGAGAACTCACCACCATTAATTTTGGTTGTCGAATAGTCATCATAATTGATGAAAAACAACTAACTTTTTGGTGTATCTTATCTTACTCTTGTCATAGATCTCTTACTTGCATGGTTATTACGGCAGGAGGGTGACCGGATCAACCATCGGAATTGTTGGTATGGGCGGGATTGGAAGTGCTGTGGCTAAACGAGCTAATGGATTTGACATGAGAATTGTGTACCACAACAGAAACAGACGTGAAATCGAGGAGAAGAAATTTGGTAAGATTACAAGTAAATGTTTATGAAGTAGCGTCGCTGCAGCTCCCTTAAGAGGAGTGAGGTCTTAAATTACTTGTTCTGAAGTATTTGTTAAGGGGGGAGGACTTATTTGTGTAAAAGATGAACAGGGTGACTTGTCATTTTAAACTGATAACAGCAACTAAGTCAAAGAAGAAGCGACAACTGCAGGAACTTGTCTTTATTTTTATACAGGCTGGCCCTGTTTACTTTTAAAGCTGGTTTAGATGAGGGCCTGTTAAAAAAACTGACAAGGCTAGATCACAACACCGAGAGCTACATCCCCTTCCTCTTGCGAGGAGTGTGAGGGCTCTTTAACGTTCCCTGCTAACCAGTTCAGAGAAGATGAAGAAGACGGGCCTACAGTTTATCGTCCTTAATCCATAAGACTAGAATTTCTAACCATTTGCGGATGCCATAGCAAAGGCAGCACTTTCTCCTCAGTTATTTTCAGACCTTAAGTGCTGGTCCGGTGTAGGGATTGAACCCCCCACGGCAGTTCGGCGCTTTAAAACCGGAGCTTTCCATGCGCGGTACGATGTCGGTTCATTGAGGCCCTTGATCCAAGTAAACCACTGGAATGCAGTCTACCAGTCTATGCAACTTTAGGTTGACAAACCGTGTCCAGCTGATTTTCCATCAAACACTTCTCGAACTTCTGTTTACCACCTCTTTACAGGTGCTCAATACTGCAACACTCTAGACGAGCTGCTCTGTCAGTCAGACTTTGTAGTGCTATGCACTCCTCTTACTAAAGAAACAGCAAACCTGATAACAGAAAGGGAGTTAGCTCTGATGAAATCAACAGCGACACTTGTTAACATCGCACGTGGAGGAATCGTCAATCAAACTGACCTGAGCGAAGCGCTACAGAGCGGAGTAATAAGAGCTGCTGCGATGGACGTCACAGATCCCGAGCCCCTGCCTAGAGACCATCCGTTATTAAAACTACCTAATGTTATCATTACGCCGCATATGGGATCAGCAACTGTCTACACAAGAATGAAAATGATGGAGGTGGTTTTAATGAATCTTAAAGCTGGCTTGAATGGAGAGAAGTTGCCCTTTAGGTTTAATTAGAGAGCTTTCAGGAAGGAGGGACGGAGTTCGTAGTCGTAAGTGTACACTAGTAAAGGAATGGTTGTTGGAAAATAATTATTCACTGAACTGTTAAAGTCGATGTAGTATTCAATGGGTGGTTGAGTGCTACTTATACTTCGTTCAACGTAGTTTTGTCGCCGTCGTGGACGTCAACAACCGACTGACTCCCCCGAGGCCAGTTTCCTGCACTCATTCTTGACTCCTTTCGCTTCGCTTTGAAAACACTCATCATGAATACAGGACATGCTAGTCTCTCACGCCTGAATAATAAATCCGGAATATTTATGCATATGTAATTATATTATTTGTTAGCTTTATTCAGATAATAGCAGTATTCGGTGACACTCTGTGTTCATTAATTAGCACCTTGACGGTAGAGATTTAATCTCGGTCTGTAACTTTGCTGTGTCTGTAACTTCTTTTTAGAGGGCATTTGGATACCGGCAGGACAGCGAATAAATCAGCATGGTGTGGACTGAAAATTCACGTTCTATGATATCAATTAAGTTCCCATACACGTTATGCCTATTTCCTCCACCAGTGATCAATTTTCTTCATCCTGAGAGATATGTTTTTTTCAATCTAAATGCTAGTAATTTTTTTAGGAGAACGAACTGAGTTAAAAGTCGATAGTTAATAACTGCTCATCGAAGCTGAAGTGTCTAGTGGTTGATAATACCGAACCGCAAAGCGGCGGGGTAAATATCCACCGCTAGCCACCGACACTGAGTTGAGGTGTTGTTTTATAAAATAATTCAAATAGTACGCACGCTCTAATCGGCCTTAAAACCATTTTACATGAGCGTATGTAAACACGGTTTTCGTTCCTCCTTCATTAGTTATTTTATAAAAGAAATGTAAAACTGTTTCCGTGTTTACATAGCCTGAAACACACTCGATAAGCTGGAAACCACTCCGCTTCGCGTCGTGGTTTCCTACGCTTATCTCGTGTTCTCCCAACCTCCCAAGTGTTTACATCAGGCTATGTAAACACGGAAACCATTTTACATTTCTTCATTGGTATATATCAAAACAGTGAGATAATATAGAACAAAAATATGATGTCAACTCCTTTATTCCTGCAACTGTTACAATATTTTCGGGCTCAAAACACACGCGAGTTGCTCGGAGGTGAATAGAAAAGGATATTCGAAGTTTGATTTGCCAATCGGAACGCGCTTTCGACGCTATCTACTGCTTCAGTATATACTAATGTATACAAGTGGAAGGAATAGATGTTGGATAATTGCTCTTCACTGAACTCAAATGCAGAGTCTATGTGACTTGTTTTTTATGATTTACTTTGTAAACTGAGGTGTGATCCGCAAATGCCCGGCTTTGCATTGCTTGTGAAATGAAAGGACACATCACGCTTGAAACTTCAATCAAGGAAAGGAAAACCACAAAAATATCAATCCTAAAAAATTTTCCGCATGAAGAACCCTTCAAGTAGTTTGTTGTTTCTGTCTCTGCCGAGACCCATATCGGTTCTTTAGGAAAGAACTAAATACCTCACAACAGTCTTTGTTATATTCATTTTCCTCTCAGTAAATGCAATTCAGGTTAACAAATGAAATGTTTGTAATTCACAATTCATAACAGTGTATAGGCAAGATTGATGTTGTTATAAAGAGCTTTGTTCGATGAGTGATGAACTTCTGCAACATTGCCTCAGGTACATTATGTTCTCGTTACCAGTGTTTGTCTTTGGTCTATAAGGTCAGTGTATATCGTTTAATGTAAATGAAGTTGAATCTCTAGACGTTGAGATAATGCTATAACTAAATAGGGCCCAGGCGCACTTTACAAATTTCTGGTTATTTTGCGAAAAAATCTGTTATCAGCTCAGTGAGACAAGTTCGCCCGGCGATTTTTTATCTTACCAAATTTGGTCAAGCCTCACCAATATTCAATTTACAAGCCACGAATGGAAAGAATAGGTCAATCAAGAAAATTTGATGTCGCTTTTTAAATGCGAGTCTTCCCTGAGGCAGAAAGCCACCAAAATATTTAATTCAGTTTTCCGCGGCAATCAAACGGTGAAGATGGAAGATATGACGATCAGTATTAAGAATACCACTATTATGGCTCTCAAGTTTACGTTTAATCTGAATCTCCAGATCCAAGTACTGCTAAATTTGTGTATCCATGTGACTGACATTTGGTGGTTAACAAATATATTTCTGTTTTTCACTGCACCCGCGATTGACAAATTTTGTCGAGATTTTTGGTAGAGCAAAACAAATGTTGTCAGCACAGTGCGCCTGGGAAACGAACACACAAACACACTGACTAATCTACATAAAACTTCGAAGAGGCTTCAGACGACTCTTTCAGGTTCTTGGACCTTATTTTAGACAGAATCGTGATGTTATCCTGTTTTGAACATTTTAAGTATGAGTAGAACGCTTGGCATTTATTCTCAGATTGTTCTTGCGCGGACCGAAAACAATCACAGTTCGCTTCAACAGTTATAAAAGTACTGATTATGTAAACTATAATTGGAAGTAATCATATGAAATTCTATTAATTTGCCTCAAGCGTTTGTTTGCCAATATGAACCATTCACCCGAAGATAAATGCTTAGACTATGCTTGCAGGCAATGAGATAATGTAGTCAAATCCACCTTCTAGAGTTTTCTCGGAAGCAGTAGGGGTTTTGGGGTATACACAAACGAAGGAAAGATCGCTTTCGAACGATCGCTTTTGGAACAACTCGCTAGGAGCCTTGGTAGCGAAAACAAAGACAGAATTGTCCGTGTTACGATCCTCAGTATGGTTTTTCTTCCAGCTTTTACGCTATCAATTTTGAATTTACTCCTCTCTGCGATTCCTGCTCAAGCCAAACTGTCTGCAGAATGCACTTTCGCGGAAATTAAGTCAGAGAAGAGTCAAAACGTAACGGCCCAACCGGCACTGAAATTCACTGGAGAACTCCCTTCCTCAAGAAATCTGAGTCACACCTGTCTTGTAGAGACGAATGATACAACTCGACTGATGTATTTGAGAGCCAAAAGGAATGAATGGTCAATAGAAGGTGAGGCAAAAATCTCTTTCCTTTGCCAGAAGTAGCGTAAAACCCTCGTCTGCTTCAACTTTAAATTAGCGACCTTAAGCAGTCAGGAAAGTCAGTCAGCAGTCACAAGATGCCGATTAAGAAGTGAATTTTCATCTTTAGTTAGAATTTTACAAATGGCGTTCGCTTTCTCTTAAGGCGTTACACCTCAACTTCGACATAATGTATGTAAGCAGCACTGAGTTCTAAACGGAAACTTTTCATTTACCGTTGGGGATTCCGTTCTCAGTTCATGCAAATTTTGCCAACTTCACGTCGTTGTTTTGAAGAGGACGGCTAGGAAATGAACGAAGTTTGAAAACGCAAGTGCAGAGCTGTTGTTTGTTGATTATAGATCTTTGAGTTTGGCCGCGTTCTCTTTGCGTCCTTATCCGAGTTGCTCTCACTCATTCTCATTCGGTCATGTTCCCTCCTGAGCTAAGTCAGACAGTTTTTTTTTCTAAGTCAGACCTTTTTTAATCGAGTTCCTTCAGTTTAACGAAGTCTACCATATGTTTAGGATTCATCTCAGTGTCATTCTTTTAGTAAACAGATGAGTGAGCTAGATAGGATGACCTGTGCCTAGTTATGATATGAATGTTGCTAAGCTAAACTGAAGAAAGCTGCAGCAAGTCAACTTGATGGATCCGAAGTATCTTGGCCGTACTGAGTAAACCGGGTTCTCATCAAAAACGTTTAGCAGTGAAAGCCATTTGATGACAAAGCTTTTCAATGTTGGACAGCTGTACGCTTGACTTAGTTACCAAAGAATTGTCACAGAATAAACATTCCATTTCATATATTAAAGTTCACATGGCAACCAAGTGGACAATCAGACATGGTTTGATGCTACTCTGGTTTATAGATTTAAGTGGCGATCTCTGTAAGAGCGGCCCAGGGCATTTCGCATCGGAACAAAGTTTTCCCTTAAACTTTGTCCAATAATCTATCTTTGGCGGCAAGGAAATAGAACCACATTAATTAGTTTCTGGAAATACGTTAAAATAAAATTTTTAGAGCTCTCAAAAGTCAAAGCTGCAAAAGGCCCTTTTTTGACCGCTTGCGACATGGAAAATTTCAAAAGTTAAAAAGCCCGGTCCTCGTATCACACCACATGCAGCAAAAGATCTTTTGTATTCTTAAACTGTGTGATATGTAAGGTTTATAAAGAGAATTTCAATTTTGATATTCGCTTATTCAGAGGTTCGTCATAATTTATTTAAAAACACTCGTTAGACAGCTTTCTGAAATTGGTCAAAACTACTCTCTCTTTCTTGGTTGATATTGCTCAAGTCCAAACCAGACCATTGAAAACTCGACTTGGTTTCTTCTAATAAGATGTTTGGCAGCAGAAAAATATAAAAACATCTTGCACATATTAATTTTCTTCGCCGTGATGACTTCAAGCTTTTAGCGATTTTGCTAGCGCGACAGCCGATTATGCAAATTAGTTCATGGAGCATACTCCGACCGTTTTATATAAGTAGCTCAATAAATCTTAGATTTTAACCATTTTAAGTTGAAAAGATAGTAGGACAGAGCTTTTAGATCACACTGGTTGATACTCTTAACATTTTAAAAGGCTAAAATTTGACAAATTTGACTATCTTGTGACGAAAGACGTCAACAACAACGTATGCAATATCATAATTTGATTAGCGTTCAGTCAACCTTTTAATCTCTTTTTATAATTCAAATAGTACGCGCGCTCTGATTGGCCATAAAACTATTTTACATGAGCGTATGTAAACACGGTTTTCGTTCCTCTTTCTTTAGTTATTTTATAAAAGAAGTGTAAAATGGTTTCCGTGCTTACATAGCTTGATGTAAACACTTGGGAAGTTGGGAGAACACTCGATAAGCTGGAAACCACTCCACTTCGCGTCGTGGTTTCCTACGCTTATCTCGTGTTCTCCCAACCTCCCGCGTTTTTACATCAGGCTATGTAAACACGGCAACCATTTTACATTTATTCATTTAAAAATTGGCTTCTATCATTTCATATTTGAGTTCTGACAGTTTATGCTATTCAACCTGTATGAACTCTCCAGAACCAAACTACAGGATTTTAATTAGTTTAACCGGCGATAACAGCGCACACTAAATTACATTGTGATCAGTGACTCCGAACTGGTTTTGCTGTTATTCCCTACATTCGGGGTGTTACGGAACCCATCAAGAGAATTTTGAATAGCCACAACGTTAAAGTTGCTCAAAAACCTTTTCAGACTTTGGGGCATATTTCTGCCAAACCTAAGGATCCTGTTACGAAAGAACAACGAACTGACGCCATTTATTCTATTCCTTGCAACGACTGTGACAACGAATACATCGGACAGACCAAACGTCAGTTTAGTACACGTTTGAGTCCGTCAGTTTGGCACACGTTTGAAAGAGCATCAGAAAGCGGTTTTCTTTTGCAAAAAAGAAAATTCAGCTTTATCGGAGCACACATGCCTAACTAGCCATACAATTGGGTGGGATAAGTCTAAAATTATCACCACCAATCGGCGCCTTTGTTTGGAGGCCTGGCATATTAATTCCGACCACGCTTAAATCGTGATGATGGGGGCTAACTTCCTGACGCCTATTTGCACCTCGTCAGAAAAAAGGCAGCTAATTAGTGATGATATAAAAGGACCTCTTGTTGTAGCGTTTAGATTACCCCTGATGTAGGCACTAGAAATGAGTGTCGAAACGTTGGGTCTATGAATTGTAACTTCTTCGGTTACATTCATTAAATCTGTAAACCAGAGTAGCATCAAACCATGTCTGATTCAATTTAAATTGCACTACGACACCGTCACACCATCGACGGCATTCAGCAACTTATATTATATTCCTTCTGTTCAAGATTGTTTTTTCTTTACGCTTCACTAAATTCGGAATCATCTTATGTTTGCTTTCAGGTTCACTGCACGTATCTGCCTATGAAGAAGACGAGGGATCCTTGCTAATTAGCCATCTTGGTATATCAACCTCTGAGGCTGGATGGAAAAGATGTCCTTTCTGTCCAACCAAGGGTAAGGCTAGGGGAAAGCACTTATTGTTTTCAGGCACAACCGGCGTCAGTTTCATGGCGGAAATGCAACAAGAGGGAGGTATTCAATTGGATGACCCAGTGAAAGTCGAACTGAGTGCAAAGGATACTTATCCAGCTGTTTTTCAGTTCACCCCAGCAGAGGACATTTCAGGGACACAACTTGACGTAACTGTCACTTCTGAGTCTGATGACGTACCAGCTTACTTAAAAGTATCACGTGACTGCAAGGATGTCAAAGAGAATATTGACGATGTGGACTATAAGGGAGGGTCACTTCGTCTGTCGTTCGCTAAAAAGGGACGGATTACTTTGTCCAAGTTCTCCACTCCACCTTTGACCGCTTCCACTTCCAGTTGGTTTATTGGAATCGCAATCAAGAACGCCTCAGGTGACACGCCAATTAATGCGAGGAAAAAAGTGACATTAACTTTAAAAAGATCATTTGCTTATTCATACGCCCGTCCCATGTGGATAGTACAGTGTGTGTTTTGCATTCTTATAGGTTTGGTTGTTGTATCTATATGGGCATGGTTTAGTTTTAGAGAATACCCCTGTGTAGCCCTATGTGAAATTTTCTCAGCTATGCCGTGCTTTCCGTTTTATTACTTGTTAATTCAGGGTCCTAAAACTTTCTCTTACATCACATTTATTGTCGGCTCGGTTTTAATGGTGGGTTCATTCCAGTTTGTCTTTGCAGACTGGTATTTAATGATTCAAGAGGGTGATAGAGATCACTGTTATTACAACGATTTCTGCTATCGAGTACGTTATGCTGATATTCCCTATAATTTAATCGTCAGCAATCTAGTTTACGTCTTGCATGGCTTGATTTTAGCTATAAATGTTCTCTTCATGGAGTCAGAGGTACTTGCTAAATGTAAGAAACTTGCAAGCTCTGCAAAAAAAAATTGGGAAGATAGATTACGGCTTGCATGCGAGAAAAGGAAAAAGGAAGTAGACGAATTTATAAACAAAAAAAAGAAAAGCAAGAAAAACGACAAAAAAGTGACAAAAGTGAAAAAAAAGCAGAAACCAAGCAAAACGATGGAGGAGGTTGCGCAGAATAACGGAGGAGGTAACAGCAAAGAACCAGATCATTTCTTAGTAAATATATCTGACAGAGAGTTACCAAGTCATTTGCTTACTTGTCCCGATATTTCTCTTCATTGCGGAGAGATGCTTGTTCCCGAAGTGAAACCTGGTATTCATGAGTCCTCTTTTGTAGAAGCACTTAAAAAAAGATATAGTTTTTCCATAGGTTACGCACTTGCCTGGGCTCTGTGCTTTCAGGGAATGTTTTCTGCACTTTATCATTTCTGTCCAAGTAGGTTTACATTTCAATTCGATACAGCTTTTATGTTTGTCATTGCTGGTTTAAGTGTTATTTTACTCTACAATGGCATTGAAAGGCAGCCGTGCACCACAGAAGTTAAAGCGAAAAGTCGTGTTGAGGCAGCCAATTTCTTTCTTCTCTTCTTAGTTCCATTATTGATTTTTAATTATTTTGGAACAATGTATCATTCTGAAGCAGGTTTAAAAAAAATATTCCAAATCCCTTTCTTTTTATTTTTTATTGTATGGTTTTTAATCATAGCAACGTGGGCTGGATATGAGGTGTATGCAGTTTGCAGTTGCACCAAAGGATTTTTATTAACCCTTTTTATCTTATCTGGCTTCGTAGTTACACCACTTGCTCTATTAATTCTTTGGTCTATAAAAATATTAGAATTTACTGACGCCATTCTGTGGTTTTGTATAGCAGAGAGCGTAGTTGCTTCCGGAGGATCTTTCTGTCTGGGTCTAAAGTGTGAGGAACTGAAGGGTACACTTTGTTTTATCATCAAAATATTTTTTGAAGTGTTATATACCTTTGTAATACTGGCACTTAATGGTATAGCTCTGTGGATTTTCTTTGCCAAAGAAACCACTGACAAGAGTAAGTCTCCAGAGAAATCACGTGACCTAAATCAGGAATGTATTCTCCTAGCTTTTTTTGACTGGCATGATGTGTGGCATTTTTGTTCCTCTTTTGGTCTATTTATGGCTGCACTTATGGTTATCCATACTAGTTATGAAACTCGTGCAACAACTGGTGTTTCTTATGAACCGCAATCAGTTCCCGTTTAGATGGACTTGCCGGGTAAACATGATATTCCAGAAAATGCGCAAAATCCACTTTCAAACAATAGAGATGCCTCCCACGGCTTTGATGATGTAAAAACCTCTGCTCCCAAATGGTGCAAGGAAGAAAACCGCGTATTATAGCCTTCCGCCTCTAGCTGTAAGGTATTGAGTGAACAAAACGGGATTAAGAAAAGGTACACTCATTCTACAGCTTTCAGGGATACTTGAAGGACATTAATTAAAAAAATGATTGAAATTCTCTGACTGTATAGGCAATATATATAAAATTGTCCCTAAGTCATTCAGCTTCCTCTTACGTATATTGGTGCTACATCAATTTGTCAGATTGTTTTTTAAAGTTACTTAGTACTGTTACGGCCAGAATAAGTCTTCATAATCTTATTGAATCTTTCTCTCCCAAGATCTTATTAGTAATTCTCCTTACTGTCTACCATACAATTCTTATGATGTTTCCTCGGAGAACTTGATGTTAGAACAGCTAATAATTATAATCCTCAATTTGGTATTTTTTTGTTTATTCTCGTCACCTGTATGCTTGATATTGTATTGATATTGTAAGGAGAAATTATGCTTGGTCACTGATGGGAGTCAAAGGGTTAACAATAGTTCACCTGGTTAATACCTTTTTTAGCAAGGGTAGAACAGTTTGTAGATAAAAGTATAAATTAAAATTCGGTTTATATCGACGTGTTTTTTAAGGCGGACGTTTTAACGCCGTTCGCTTGTGTATTCCAAATAGTAACTCATCATACCAATTTTTGTAAATACAATTTGATTTGTCATTCGCCTTCATATTGGGCTAATTTTCATATCAGTAGGTATAGCCTACTATAGTTTCTGTTGTAAGGGAGTTCTGACTGAATAGCAATGTCTTTGTAAACACTGTTTAAGGTCTTGATGTTTGTGGTCTTGATTAACATTCTAGATAATTTAAATCTATTTAATTCGTCTAATTTAAATTATCTAGACTATTTAACTCTTTGAATTTCATATTCATGTTTCGACTGCTGCTTATATGTTTGCCCTATATTGTCTGTTTGCTTGTTTGTTCTATTTGATTGTAAAAATTTTATATATTGATGTCATTTTGTATATTGATGATATTTTAAGACTATATTTTTAATGCTTTTACATATACTTACATTGTATTCATTTTATTTTTTATAGTGTCCACAATTAGCTTTTAGCTAAATACCTTGACACTTTAATAAAGTTTATGTATGTATTTATGTATGATCAGTAAAGAGTAACACACGATGGATGGATCGTTGTCTTAAGTTTCGTCTTAATTACAGTTATATGCTGCCAAACGACTCCATCGAACATAATCCGCTGAAGAAGAATATAGGTGTGAGACAAACAGATCGCGCAGTTTCGTACACGAGTCTCGGATTATGCCATTCGCCACACCTTCAATGTCCATTGATTCTCAGTTACTGACGAAGAAAAAAACAACATAAGAGATAGATATGACTGGACTGAAAATATTTAGTTATGAGAATAAAGATAAGCTTAGACTACAATGAAACAGCGGAAACTGAACTGTGAAGAGAAAACCGGTAATTAACCAACTCAGTTTTACACAGCAGAGGGTATCAATCGTTAATCGCTGAGGTCAATCGTTAACCGTAAAAGGGCACAAAAACTTAGCCATTGGGCGTAGAAAGTTGACAAATTTTAATCGTTCGTCGAGAAAAAAAATGAACTAAATAAATTTTTCCCATCTTAGCCTGTTGTTTGTCTTGTCTTGTGGCCAGTGCAGGAAACAGAAAGTTACTCTAAGTCAACCCAACAGCAGTTCGATCTGGAACTACCCTTGTTGCTTGAATCTGAGGCTTAAAGCAAACGAGTAAATGTGATTTCGAAATATGAAAATTAATCATAGACTTTTCAAATGATTGAAATTTAATATTTTTAACGTTTCTGTTAACTTTAACAAAAGAAAAAAACCGTTAGCCGTAAAATGGCAAATATTTTTTTGCCATTTTACCGTTTACGGACCGGTAACCGTAAAAGCCATAACCCCATTGAGACCCTGTCAGTAGGTGTCATTCGTGATCAATCGGTACACCGAGCTAATTTTCATGGGTACACGAATAAATCTGTGTTTCTGAGAAGTTTCCGGAATAGATATTTACAGTTCTTTAGCTATTTTTCATAAATTGACTTCAAATTAAGTTACAGAAGAGACAATGTCAATACTGAAAATTGCTTCCTACGTGATGAGTGTCAAAATCCTTCCTTCCTGGAAATCGAGGAAATTTTTCAGTGCTCAGACATATTCTAAAACACACATCTCAGTTTCCTCAATTGCTATTCAAGCTAAGCCGCCTGCAAACTGCACCTTAGAACAAGTAAAACTCCGAACGACTGCCCTTCAGAACATGTCAATTCTAACACTGAGGTTCAGGGGTCAGGTTCCTTCCTTCCTCGGTTACTCCCGGCGAGGAAGAAATGACTCAAAAAACGAAACGAGGGCGGAGAAAGCTTGTGAAATTAATATTATCGGAAAACTCAAAAGTTTTATGGGGTGAACACAAAAAATATGACCGTTGTTGAGTTTTCATGGAAATGAAAGAAAATCCTGACTCACTTTAGTTAGGACGACTCCTTTCTTTTGGCTTTTAAATAAATCAGTCGGTTTGTGTGACTCTTTTGGTTATTTGATTTTATTCGTTCGAAGGTGCAGTCTACGTACAGCTTAGCGTGAGCACCAAATGGGAAATGTGGGATGAAAATTAAAACTGAAAGCTAAAGAACGGCAGAAAGGAACATCCTGAAATTTCCGTTTAAGACACTCGAAAAAAAAAGTCGACTCTTAGAGGTAATTTTTTTTTATATTATCTCCTAGTGAGCGTAAATTTAATTCAGTTTCATCGACAAATAAAACCATTCACTCCCTCAAAAAATGGAGTTAAATAACGACTGTTTTTGTTTTTGAGAAAAGATGGATGACTTCACAACGACCAATGCCTTATGCGAGTGGTATGCCTCCGAACATGTCCTTTTTATGAGAATGTTCGTCAGGGCATAAGCATAATCAATCATGCTTAAATGGAGCTGATTTTGTCAGATCATAACCCTGTCAACGCATTTCAACAGCTAGGTGGAAAAAAAAATTCTCTTGTGTCAATTAACCATAGGTGTTCGTTAGCTCACTTGAATTCATGCCCACAACAAAGAAACTGTAAATAGAAATCTTTTTTAGGAAATCGACAACAGCGCTGAAAAGCCACAGGTGTTTACCATAGATTAATCGAACCACTCACCAGTAGGAAATGGCGATTGCGGTGTTTAAGTAGTTATAGTTGGTAATTAATTTATGACGCGCAACTAGTGATAATTAATGAATCAGTAAATTATGGCGATATTTAAGCTTAAGTGATAATAATATATGATAAGAAATGTAACAATTCTTTAAATGGAAAAGGACTTTCAAGTCAACCCGCAAAGCCGAACTTTAAAGTGAACTGATTCTTACGATAAACTGCAATGATCAATACAATTAAAGAAAACATGCAGTCTTATTTTATAAGGCAGGCGTCAGAGAAAGTGAGATGTCCTGTGTATAGTGGTCGACGTTTCAACGGGTCTGTGTCAAGGTCACGAAGTCGCGACGCAGAAAGTTTATTGAGGGGAAAAGAAACTAGCCTAACGTAGCGGGATGTTTCCGGTTGACGAGGGTTTGAGTTACCAAGGGTATAATAATGGTATATGAATGACAGAATACTACCTAACAAACTCTATTGTTACGCAACCACCCCTCCCACGTAGAGCCTTTTCTGCAAGAACCTGAATGTTTTAACGAAGATATGATTTGGAAGTAAGGTCTGCATTGTATACCTGGTCACATGGGGTTATTTGTTCAAAATGTTTTCTATTATCGCAGAGGGGAAAAAGCAACCTCAATGTGTGAATTTGAGCACCCTGGATACCTCTTCCACACTTGTTTCGTAGCTTATCATTCATCGCCCTCCCCGTTTCTCCGCCCCAATGGATGTGTGCTGACGGTCATACATTTCTATAACTGACACCATCTTGTTTACTTGACAAGATGACATCTGAGCATTGGCTCACATGAAGGTAATTAGAAACAAAATATTAAATTAATATAAACGGCTAATGGTTTTTTTCTTTTGTTAAAGTTAACAGAAACGTTAAAAATATTAAATTTCAATCATTTGAAAAGTCTATGATTAATTTTCATATTTCGAAATCACATTTACTCGTTTGCTTTAAGCCTCAGATTCAAGCAACAAGGGTAGTTCCAGATCGAACTGCTGTTGGGTTGACTAAGAGTAACTTTCTGTTTCCTGCACTGGCCACAAGACAAGACAAACAACAGGCTAAGATAGGAAAAATTTATTTAGTTCATTTATTTTTCTCGACGAACGATTGAAATTTGTCAACTTTCTACGCCTATAATGGCTAAGTTTTTGTGCCCTTTTACGGTTAACGATTGACCTCAGCGATTAACGATTGATACCCTCTGCTGTGTAAAACTGAGTTAGTTAATTACCGGTTTTCTCTTCACAGTTCAGTTTCCGCTGTTTCATTGTAGTCTAAGCTTATCTTTAATCTCTAACTAAATATTTCAGTCCAGTCATATCTATCTCTTATGCTGTTTTTTTCTTCGTCAGTAAATGAGAATCAATGGACATTGAAGGTGTGGCGAATGGCATAATCCGAGACTCGTGTACGAAACTGCGAGATCTGTTTGTCTCACACCTATATTCTTCTTCAGCGGATTATGTTCGATGGAGTCGTTTGGCAGCATATAACTGTAATTAAGACGAAACTTAAGACAACGATCCATCCATCGTGTGTTACTCTTTACTGATCGTTTACATCAAGACCTTAAACAGTGTTTACAAAGACATTGCTATTCAGTCAGAACTCCCTTACAACAGAAACTATAGTAGGCTATACCTACTGATATGAAAATTAGCCCAATATGAAGGCGAATGACAAATCAAATTGTATTTACAAAAATTGGTATGATGAGTAACTATTTGGAATACACAAGCGAACGGCGTTAAAACGTCCGCCTTGAAAAACACGTCGATATAAACCGAATTTTAATTTATACTTTTATCTACAAACTGTTCTACCCTTGCTAAAAAAGGTATTAACCAGGTGAACTATTGTTAACCCTTTGACTCCCATGAGTGACCAAGCATAATTTCTCCTTACAATATCAATACAATATCAAGCATACAGGTGACGAGAATAAACAAAAAAAATACCAAATTGAGGATCATAATTATTAGCTGTTCTAACATCAAGTTCTCCGAGGAAACATCATAAGAATTGTATGGTAGACAGTAAGGAGAATTGCTGATAAGATCTTGGGAGAGAAAGATTCAATAAGATTATGAAAACTTATTCTGGCCGTAACAGTACTAAGTTACTTTAAAAAACAATCTGACAAATTGATGTAGCACCAACATACGTAAGAGGAAGCTGAATGACTTAGGGACAATTTTATATATATTGCCTATACAGTCAGAGAATTTCAATCATTTTATTAATTACTGTCCTTCAAGTATCCCTGAAAACTGTATCATTTTTTTAATTAATGTCCTTCAAGTATCCCTGAAAGCTGTAGAATGAGTGTACCTTTTCTTAATCCCGTTTTGTTCACTCAATACCTACTGCCTGCTTACATCTGGAGGCGATTTTACGGAAGGGAAGGAAGGTAATACCTGTTTTAGTTCCGCGAGCCAATCGCCAGCAGTGGTTTTTACATCATCAAAGCCGGGAGTAGCATCTTTATTGTTTGCAAGTGGATTTTGCGCATTTTCTGGAATATCATGTTCACCCGGCGAGTCCATCTCAACGGGAACTGATTGCGGTTCATCAGAAGCACCAGTTGTTGCACGAGTTTGACTTTTTTCTCTGAGTAATTTTGGAGATTCATAACTGGTATGGATAACCATAAGTGCAGCCATAAATAGACCAAAAGAGGAAAAAATATGCCACACATCATGCCAGTCAAAAAAAGCTAGGAAAATACATTCCTGATTTAGGTCACGTGATTTCTCTGGAGACTTACTCTTGTCAGTGGTTTCTTTGGCAAAGAAAATCCACAGAGCTAAACCATTAAGTGTCAGTATTGTACAGGTATATAACACTTTAGAAACTACTTTAGAACCTACTTTAGAACCTACTTTGATGATAAAACAAAGTCTAGCCTTCAGTTCCTCGACACAATCCTGACAGTTTGAAGGACATGACGACTCACACTTTAGACCCGCACAGAAAGATCCTCCAGAAGCAACTACGCTCTCTGCTATACAAAACCACAGAATGGCGTCAGTAAATTCTAATATTTTTTGAGACCAAAGAACAATTAGAACAAGTGGTGTAACTACGAAGCCAAATAAGCAAAAAAGGGTTAATACAAATCTTTTGGTGCAACCGCATGTACAGCATTTACAACACTCGCAGTGGCTTTCACAACTTTTACAAAAAAGTTTACTGCAAACTGCATACAACTTATATCCAGCCCACGATGCTATGATTAAAAACCATACAATTAAAAAGAAAAAGAAAGGGATTTGGAATTTTTTGTCTAAACCTGCTTCAGAATGATACATTGTTCCAAAATAATTAAAAATCAATAATGGAACTAAGAAGAAAAGAAAGAGATTGGCTGCCTCAACACGACTTTTTGCTTCAACTTCTGTGGTGCACGGCTGCCTTTCAATGCCATTGTAGAGTAAAATAACACTTAAACCAGCAATGACAAACATAAAAGCTGTATCGAATTGAAATGTAAACCTACTTGGACAGAAATGATAGAGTGCAGAAAACATTCCCTGAAAAAAAAGAGCCCAGGCAAGTGCATAACCCATGGAAAAGCTATACCTTTTTTTAAGTGCTTCTACAAAAGAGTTCTCATGAATACCAGGTTTCACTTCGGGAACAAGCATCTCTCCGCAATGAAGAGAAATATCGGGACAAGTAAGCAAATGACTTGGTAACTCTCTGTCAGATATATTTACGGAGAGATAATCTGCTTCTTTGCTGTTACCTCCTCCGTTATTCTGCGCAACCTCCTCCATCGTTTCGCTTGGTTTCTGCTCTTTTGTCAACTCATACACTTTTTTGTTTATAAATTCGTCTACTTCCCTTTTCCTTTTCTCGCATGCAAGCCGTAATCTATCTTCCCTATTTTTTTTTGCGGAGCTTGCAATTTTCTTACATTTAGCAAGTACCTCTGACTCCATGAAGAGAACATTTATAGCTAAAATCAAGCCATGAAAGACGTAAACTAGATTGCTGACGATTAAATTATAGGGAATATCAGCATAACGTACTCGATAGCAGAAATCGTTGTAATAACAGTGATCTCTATCACCCTCTTGAATCATTAAATACCAGTCTGCAAAGACAAACTGGATTGAACCCACCATTAAAACCGAGCCGACAATAAATGTGATGTAAGAGAAAGTTTTGGGACCCTGAATTAACAAGTAAATAAACGGAAAGCACGGCATAGCTGAGAAAATTTCACACAGGTTTACACAGGGGTATTCTCTAAAACTATACCATGCCCATATAGATACAGCCAAACCTATAAGAATGCAAATCACACACTGTACTATCCACATGGGAAGGGTGTATGAATAAGCAAATGATCTTTTTAAAGTTAATGTCACTTTTTTCCTCGCATTAATTGGCGTGTCACCTGAGGCGTTCTTGATTGCGATTCCAATAAACCAACTGGAAGTGGAAGCGGTCAAAGGTGGAATGGAGAACTTGGACAAAGTTATTCGTCCCTTTTTAGCGAACGACAAACGAAGTGACTCTCCCTTATAGTCCACAACGTCGATGTTGTCTTTGACATCCTTGCAGTCACGTGATACTTTTAAGTAAGCTGGTACGTCATCAGACTCAGAAGTGACAGTTATGTCAAGCTGTGTACTTGAAATGTCTTTTGTTGGGATGAATTGATAAACAGCTGGATAAGTATCTTTTGCACTCAGTTTAACTGGTACTGGTATATCTAATTCAATGACTCCTTCTTGCTGCATTTCCGCCATGAAACTGACGCCAGTTGTGCCCGAAAACAACAATTGCTTTCCACCAACTCTACCCCTGGTAGGACAGAAAGGTAACCTTCTCCAACCAGCTTCAGACGTTGATATGCCAAGATGGCTAGTTAACAAGGATCCCTCGTCTTCTTCATAGGCAGAGACGTGCAGTGAACCTGGAAGTAAACATAAATCAATTTCCATTCATTAAAACTACACTAAAAATAGAAAAAATGTACTAGAGATATTTGTCCAACTGACTTGTGAAAAATACTTTAGTCTAGACAGAATGAGTATCGTGGAATGCCGATAAAGTGTGACGATGTCATGGTGCATCTGGAATGTTTGTTCTGCGAAGTGTTATTCAGAATTTGTTTGTGGATTGGTATTTATCCATGCACTTGAGTACAGCTCTTAAATTTTTTCGTCGCTGCGTTAGCGTCTTCCGAGTAGATAAATTAGGGTAGTTTATCGTTTAGGTTATGCTACGATTCTGCTCAAAATTGATGAGTTACAACGATGACAACGAGCAGTTCACGGAAAATTTATCGTCTATTGATACATAGCTTCAAGTAGCCATGCCAAAGCATAGGCTAATGATTCCTAGTCTATAAATGCAGTACTTTCTGTTCAAATACGTTTAGCGATAGGAAAACTCGGCCATACCTTAGCTCTCATCGCTGTACGATGTAGCCAATAAGACTTACGTTATCAGGAAAATGGTCGTTCCCAACTGGGAAAAAAACGCAGATTTGTCCTTTTAACTTAACCTGAACAGTCACCGTATCGTGAATGATGAGCAACGATTCTGTATATGCATGCTACTTTTAAATATTCAATGAGCCGAAATATAATGGGCGAGAGAGCCTATACCCCATGTAAGGATCTTAACGGAAATAGCAATTTTTGTTCCCGAAGAAGACATGACTCGGAAGATGAAAAGAATGCGGAGAACATCAGAAAAAGCTATTGAAAGGAATATGTAACGGGAAACTCACACGCTTAATCAAGTGAACTCGTAAAATAAGACTAATAGTGAGTTTTATGAAGAAGACAGAAAATCCTAATTCACCTTCTTGGGACCATTTGTTCCTTTTGGCTCTTACATAAATCAGTCGGTCTGTCTCATTTGTCTTCACAAGGCAATTGTGACCCTTTTTCGAAGAGGGAAGCTGTCCCATAAATCTCAGCGGTGAAGCCGAAGTATTCTGACCCGCCGTCCATGATTTTATTCGTTCGAAGGTGCAGTCTACATACAGCTTAGCGTAAGCACCAAATGGGAAATGTGGGATGAAAATTAAAACTGAACCCAGGAGAACTGTAGGAAGGAGCATCCTGAAATTTCCACTGAAGAAACACGACTTTGCCTTTTTCTCAGTATGAACTAAAGAGGTTGATCGTGCGTTTATAAACTTCAAAGGTTTTCAAGAAAAAAAATCGACTCTAATTGGCGATTTTTGTTTGCATTGTCTCCTAGTGGACACAAATTTAATTAAATTTTCATGGAAAAAAGAGGTTGATCGCGTGTTTACAAACTTCCAAGGTTTCCAAGGAAAAAAACCACTCTAATTGACGACTTTTGTTTACATTGTCTCCTAGTGTGCATAAGTTTAGTTTCATCGATAAATTAAACCATTCACTCCCTTAACAAAAGGGAGATCAAGAAACAATTGTTTTTGATTGGAAAACCTTACGAAATAGGGATGGCTTCACAAAGGTGAATGCCTTCTGCAAGTGGTATGCCTCCGAACATATCCTATTCAAGCGAATACTCACCAAGGTATAAGCATAATCCACTTTGCTAAAATAGAGTTGCTTTTGTCAGATCATAACCCTGTCGACGCATTTTAATAGCTTGGTGGACGAAAACTCTTGTGTTAATTGACTATACGTGTTCGTTAGTTATTAGAATTCATGACCACAACAAAGAAACTGTAAATAAGAATCTTTTCTAGGAAATCGGTAACAGCCCTGAAAAGCCACAGGCGTGGGCAGGTGTTTACCACTGATGAAACGAACGACCCACCTGTGTGTCGCAGAGCCAGACTCAAATACAACTTTTAAGTTACATCCCACTACAGCCAACCCTTTAGTTCATCAGTGACCGGGAAGTGACGATTGCAGTGTTTAAGTAGTTATGATTTGTAATTAATTTATAAGCGGATCTTGTGACAATTGGTGAATCAGTAGATTATATAATTTTAAAGCTTAATACTATTGATTGCTTCGGCTCTCTAAAAGAAAAGACAACATAATTTGATTCGTTATTGTTCCTTATGAACATAATATCTGACAAAATGTCAGTACAGCCACATACCTCATTATGACAAAACGATGTCAAAAACAATAGATCACCATTGGACTTCGGCTTTGTTTGATATTTACACTTTGGGATCAATAGTCATCTTCTCCTTGCTGCTCCCTATATATTTCCAATGGTTCTGACGTGGAGTATTTGTCTAACAATCAAAGGGTTCTAAAGTTGATGATCATTTCCTTTGTTCTCCTGACCTTGGTTTTTATCTTATTAATTTTTTTATATTTAGGATGATTGGGGTCAAAGATTAAATCAAGAAAGAAAACTGAGAGTGTAAAAATCTGGCATATTTTGGGCAAAGCTTAATCACAGAAGAATCGAGCAAGTCCTCGTTCCCTTGAACGGCGGTTGGGAAAATGAGAACTGCGCCTCTCGAGCCTCTAAGGAAGCTCTTAAAAACGAGATTGAAGGTCAAGAGGACTGAAGTTCTCTTTTTCTTTTGATTTTTTTCTATGATATATATATATACTGCTTACCTCCACGAGCGAGTGTTATGCTCACGGTCACTACTTTGTATTAAGTGTTATTGATCTATATAGGAGTGGGGCCGGGAACCGAACTTGCGAGAAGGGCACAAGGCGAGTTTGTTTTGTAGCAGTTTGTTGAAATGTTAATCCTATGGGTCTTTTGACGTCAAGAATGTTTGGACTTTGCAAACAAAGATAACAAACTTTGTTTTCAGTTCTTTCAACGAAAACAAAGAAATCACGTAAGATGACTAAAGATTCATCATAATTGCAGATCATATTCTGCTGCTTTTTTAGAGCGGGAAAGGTAGTTTAGCTGAGTAAATAAACGGAATTTTCACGGTGGATCGTTTATCACATTTAATTCGTGTTCAGACTGAAAAAATCTTTAGAGAGATTAATATCATATTTTCTTTATTCACCAAAATAACAAACAAACATTCAATATTCTGTAAATAGGTAGCTTTCCGAACTTAATACAACTGTAAGGGGACAAAAATCCCAACACAAAACGAAAAAAGTAAATTGTTAAAATCCCAATCGAGACGACGCGGAAAAAAATAAACCGATTGTTGCCTCGTTTGTTAATTTTTTAAAAATAAAAAATTAACAAAAAAGGACAGTGACAACAAGGACAGGGAAACCAAAGACTGTGACAACAAGGACAGTGACAACAAGGACAGTGACAACAAGGACAGGGACAACAAGGACAGTGACAACAAGGACAGTGACAACAAGGACAGTGACAACAAGGACAGTGACAACAAGGACAGTGACAACAAGGACAGTGACAACAAGGACAGGGACAACAAGGACAGCGACAACAAGGACAGCGACAACAAGGACAGTGACAACAAGGACAGTGACAACAAGGACAGTGACAACAAGGACAGTGACAACAAGGACAGTGACAACAAGGACAGTGACAACAAGGACAGTGACAACAAGGACAGTGGCAACAAGGACAGTGGCAACAAGGACAGTGGCAACAAGGACAGTGACAACAAGGACAGTGACAACAAGGACAGGGACAACAAGGACAGTGACAACAAGGACAGTGACAACAAGGACAGTGACAACAAGGACAGTGACAACAAGGACAGTGACAACAAGGACAGGGACAACAAGGACAGTGACAACAAGGACAGTGACAACAAGGACAGGGACAACAAGGACAGTGACAACAAGGACAGTGGCAACAAGGACAGTGACAACTAGGGCAGTGACAACAAGGACAGTGGCAACAAGGACAGGGACAACAAGGACAGTGGCAACAAGGACAGTGACAACAAGGACAGTGACAACAAGGACAGGGACAACAAGGACAGTGACAACAAGGACAGTGACAACAAGGACAGTGACAACAAGGACAGTGACAACAAGGACAGTGACAACAAGGACAGTGACAACAAGGACAGGGACAACAAGGACAGTGACAACAAGGACAGTGGCAACAAGGACAGTGACAACAAGGGCAGTGACAACAAGGACAGTGGCAACAAGGACAGTGACAACAAGGACAGTGACAACAAGGACAGTGACAACAAGGACAGTGACAACAAGGGCAGTGACAACAAGGACAGTGACAACAAGGACAGTGACAACAAGGACAGTGGCAACAAGGACAGTGGCAACAAGGGCAGTGACAACAAGGACAGTGACAACAAGAACAGGGACAACAAGGACAGTGACAACAAGGACAGTGACAACAAGGACAGTGACAACAAGGACAGTGACAACAAGGACAGTGGCAACAAGGACAGGGACAACAAGGACAGTGACAACAAGGGCAGTGACAACAAGGACAGGGACAACAAGGACAGTGACAACAAGGACAGTGACAACAAGGACAGTGACAACAAGGGCAGTGACAACAAGGACAGTGACAACAAGGACAGGGACAACAAGGACAGTGACAACAAGGACAGTGACAACAAGGACAGTGACAACAAGGACAGTGACAACAAGGACAGGGACAACAAGGACAGGGACAACAAGGACAGGGACAACAAGGACAGGGACAACAAGGACAGTGACAACAAGGACAGTGACAACAAGGACAGTGACAACAAGGACAGTGACAACAAGGACAGTGACAACAAGGACAGGGACAACAAGGACAGCGACAACAAGGACAGCGACAACAAGGACAGCGACAACAAGGACAGCGACAACAAGGACAGCGACAACAAGGACAGCGACAACAAGGGCAGCGACAACAAGGACAGCGACAACAAGGACAGCGACAACAAGGACAGTGACAACAAAGACAGTGACAACAAGGATAGTGACAACAAGGACAGTGACAACAAGGACAGTGACAACAAGGACAGTGACAACAAGGACAGTGGCAACAAGGACAGTGGCAACAAGGACAGGGACAACAAGGACAGCGACAACAAGGACAGCGACAACAAGGACAGTGACAACAAGGACAGTGACAACAAGGACAGTGACAACAAGGACAGTGACAACAAGGACAGTGACAACAAGGACAATGACAACAAGGACAGTGACAACAAGGACAGTGACAACAAGGACAGTGACAACAAGGGCAGTGACAACAAGGACAGTGGCAACAAGGACAGGGACAACAAGGACAGTGGCAACAAGGACAACAAGGACAGCGACAACAAGGACAGCGACAACAAGGACAGCGACAACAAGGACAGCGACAACAAGGACAGCGACAACAAGGACAGTGACAACAAGGACAGGGACAACAAGGACAGTGACAACAAGGACAGTGACAACAAGGACAGTGACAACAAGGACAGTGACAACAAGGACAGGGACAACAAAGTTAATTTTGTAGTTGGTGTCTTTTACGGACTTGGTTCCTTGTGGCAATTTCGCTGATAGGTCATGCGCTAGGTGGTATATTAGAATATGCGACGCTTTTCTGTATCTTTGCGTGGGAGAGAGCGCTTTAGTCGCTGTTGGATCCTTCTTGACATCCTGCTTGTTAAAGGATAGTTAAGAAGAGAGGCGGACGTTTCCTTTTGTTCTAAAGGCGCTTTTCGGCATTGCAATAGTGGTTATTTTGAGTATAGAATAGCATTTTTTCGCAGCAAAAGTAACAACAGATGAGAGTAAGTCTCCTAAGAAATCTCGTGATCTAAACATGGAATTTGCTTTGGCTGATTTTTTTGACGATCATGACAAGTGGTACATTTTATCCTCCTTTGGTTTGTTTATGGGGGCGGGCCGGGCGTCTCCAAGCTCACGTCTCGAGAAAAAGCAAACGATTAATTCATGAAAGCGTCACGCGTTGTGTGACTCGGTGTTAAGTCACGAGAGGAACCGTTGAACACGTTATAAGGAATAGGATGGGGAACGAAATATGGTCGATTTACCTCGTCGGATAAATATTTCGAAATATTAACATTTTACACGTAAAATCAATGAAACTTACTCACATCTTGTGTGTCCGTCGTAGTTTCTGGCGATTTCTGCCGTTTTAAGCTTGCTTTACCATCATTGTTATTGCTGTCATAAGACGAAGTCAAAGCTGCACACTCCGATTTCGACCGTCGTCCACGCGGTGGTGGTTTGCGCCCCGAAAATCCTCCCGACCGGCATTTTTCTCAGCTAAAGTTTACGATCTAAGATCATTGCATCCTGGAAGATGTCTCAATACCAAAACTCCCATCGCATTTCGCTGAAAACGAGCGTTTTCTACCTGCATTTCCAAGTTCGCTTCTCTTTGGCTATACTCTAAATAACCAGACTGGATAATTTTCTCCTTATTATGAGTACTTACCCCTTCCCACAGCGACACCTCGCCTAAGTCACGTAAAGCTACACCAGATAAACAACGGACAAAATTTGAATATTCTACGGGGTTTGCTGTGAGCACTTAAGCTTGAATTATTTTCGCCAAAAAATTGTCGAAGGGGAAGAGATGCGGTGAAATTGACAGAAATTGTCGATTTCCTAAAAAAGATTTCTAGTTAGAGTTTTTTTGTTATGGGCATGAATTCAAGTGAGCTAACGAATACCTATATATAATCGACACAAGAGTTTTTTTTCCACCGAGCGGTGTGATCAGCTCCATTTAAGTATGCGGTTGATTATGCTTGTGCCTTGGCGAGCATTTGTTTGAAAAGAGGACATGTTCGGAGGCATACCACTCACATATGCGTTTGTGAAAGTTCAAAATGATATTTTGAAGGCTATTGATAATAATAGATCGGTTATTTTACTATTGCTTAATTTATCGGCTGCGTTTGATACTGTCGATCATTCGATTTTGCTATCAAGACTACAGAATCGTTTCGGTATAAGGAACATAGCTCTTAAGTGGTTTCATTCGTACCTTCACTCACGCGAACAGTTTGTTTCTGTTAATGGAATTGAATCGTCGAAGAAGCATTTATCCTACGGGGTACTACAGGGTTCTGTGCTGGGACCCCTATTGAATTCTCTTTATACAAGTCCACTGGGTGACATAGCCAGGAAGCATAGCATATCGTTTCATTTCTATGCAAATGACACACAGTTATACTTGTTGTTTACATCCAATTGTCCGAATCATCTATCCAGCACAACAGCTGCGCAACAAACTCAAGTTAAATCAGGATAAGACTGAACTTTTGGTTATTAGTTCTAAATATCGCCCTCGACCACCTCTCGACTATATACGAGTCGGGGAAGAAGTAATCAAGTCTAGTAAACAGGCCAGGAACTTAGGAGTTGGATTCGATCAATATTTAGATTTCAAAGAACACGTTAAATTAACCTGCAAGAGCGCATTTTTCCGCATTCGCAGTATCGCTAAAATTAGGTGATACCTATCCCAGAGTACTACTGAGGCTATTGTTGATGCTTACATAACATCGCGTTTGGACTATTGTAATGCCCTACTGTATGGTCTCCCGAAGTATCTGATTAATAGATTTCCGCTTTTACAGAACTCGGCAGCTCGCCTTGTTACCTTGACTAGAAGGCAGGAACATATCACACCAATTCTAAGGAGCTTAGATTGGCTGCCAGTTCATTATAGGATAGTTTTTGAAATATTGTTGCTGACTTACAAAGCTCTGAATGGACTGGCCCCAGATTACATTAAAGACCTATTGAAGTATAATGACTCTCGTCGCACACTAAGATCTTCAAACAACAGGTTGCTTGATGAGCCTAGAGCGAATCTTAAAACGTTTGGTGAGAGGGCTTTTTCCGTGGCGGCACCAGGGCTTTGGAATAAACTACCACTCCAAATTAAATCAGGCTTTCATCAACAGAGGCAGTCTTAAGGCTAATCTTAAGACTTAGTATTTTAAGCGTGCATTTGATTTGTAGTTTTTACTTGTAGTTTTTACTTTTTATTTATAACCTTATTGTATTGTATGATATAGTGTATTTAATTTTTAGGATTTTAATTTTTACGGTTTTAGAGTATTGTAAAGCGCCATGGACAATTAATGGAAGATGGCGCTATATAAATGTATTTAATTTAATTTAATTTAACAAGGCACTGACCGTTGTGAAGTCATTCATCTTTTTAAAAAAAAAAAACAGTCGTTTTTTTAATCTCCCTTTTGTTGAGGGAGAGAATGGTTTTATTTGTCGATGAAACTGAATTAAATTTATGCGCAGTAGAAGAAAATGTACATAGAAATCGCCACTAAGAGTCTATTTTTTTTCCTTGGAAACTCAGAAAGTTTTTAAACGCGCGATCGGACTTTTTGGTCAGTGAAAACTAAATTACATCTATGCACAGTAGCAGACAATGCAAACTGAAATTCTATGTTTTTCGTGGAAACTCAAGAAGTTTTAAACACGCGATCAACCTCTTTGGTCAGTGAAAACTAAATTAAATTTATACACAATAGAAGACAATGTAAACAGATATCGCCAATCAGAGTCTATTTTTTTTTCTTGGAAACCCAGGAAGTTTTTAATCGCGAGGGAGAGAATGGTTTAATCTGTCGATGAAACTGAATTAAATTTATGCATAGTAGCAGACAATGTAAAAGAAAGTCTATTTTTTTCCGTGAAAACTCAGGAAGTTTTTAAACGCGCGATCAACCTCTTTCGTCAGTGAAAACTGAATTACATTTATGCATAGTAGAAGACAATGTAAACAGACATCGCCAATCATAGTCTATTTTTGTTTTCGTGAAGACTCAGGAGGTTTTTGGCGCGCGATCGGCCTCTTTGGTCAGTGAAAACTAAATTAAATTTATGCATAGTAGAAGACAATGTAAACAGACATCGCCGATTAGGGTCTATTTTTGTTTCTTGGAAACCCAGGAAGTTCTTAAACACACGATCGGCCTCTTTGGTCAGTGAAAACTGAATTTAATTTATGCACAGTTGAAGACAATGCAAACAGACTTCGCCAATTAGAGTCTATTTTTTTTTTCTTGGAAACCCAGGAAGTTTTAAACGTGCGATCAACCTCTTTGGTCAGTGAAAACTGAATTAAATTTATGCACAGTTGAAGACAATGTAAACAGAAATCGCCAATCAGAGTCTATTTTTTTTTTCTTGGAAACCTAGGAAGTTTTTAAACGTGCGATCAACCTCTTTGGTCCATACTGAGAAAAAGGCGAAGTCGAGTTTCTTTAGCGGAAATTTCAGGATGCTCCTTTCTGCAGTTCTTCTGTTTTCAGTTTTAATTTTCATCCCACATTTCCCATTTGGTGCTCACGCTAAGCTGCACGTAGACTGCACCTTCGAACGAATAAAATCATGGACGACTGCTCAGAATACTTCGGCTCCATCACTGAGGTTTAGGGGACAGCTTCCTTCTTCAAAAAAGAGTCACACTTGCCTTGTGAAGACAAATGAGACAAACCGACTGATTTATTTGAAAGCCAAAAGAGACGAGTGGTCCAAAGGTGAGTCAGAATTTTCTTTCATTTCCATGATAAAACTTTTGAGTTTTCCAATAAATATTAATTTCACAAGCTTTCTCTGTGGCTCTCCGCCTTTATTTCGTCCTTTGAATCATTTCTTCTTCGCCGGGAGGAGCCGGGAAGAGTTTCGAATCCGTATCTCTGGGATACAAAAAATATCACAGCGATGCATGCAGCACAACTACTGAGCTATGGGTCAATGAAGATGATAAAATATTCCATAACTTCTATTTTATTCACTGATACAGTTTAAGAATCCATTACTTTTGAGTGCAATCGCAGCATAGCCTGGATGATGAACTTCTTTCATCTATCGACTCGGAAAACTCTTACTTAGCAACGCACAAATTTAAGAGCTCTATCCAGGTGCCGATTGATATGTGGACTGTATGTTGAAGAGCTCACGAGGAAAAGTACAATGATAGAGCAATGATTAATTTTATACCAACTGAGGACAAACGCAAATGCGCGGCTTGCCAATATGGCTACCTCTGATGTTTTTCCGCGTGGTCACAGCATGCGTTGAAATGAACCCGCTACAGGTTCCCCAGGTGTGAACATTTCGGCTTCTCGATTCAAGTTGCATTTTCAGAAGTTCGGAAATGTTATTTGAGGTTATTATTATTAATTATTATTTATTAAACCATATAAACATTTCATTTCTTTCCACGTGAGTTTCTGAGCTTCATCGAAATTAATTTTGACTTTCACTAAGTCGGGAGGGGTAGTATGCGAGATTACTTCCGTTCGCGGTCCACAATGCAACTTCCGTCCACGGTCGACAACTTCCGTCAACATCTGCTCCACCACAATACCTCATTCATTGCTTTCAGCATGAATGAGCTAAAAAGGTGACCGAAATTCTACCTGTAAGATAAGACTGCTAGAAGGAATAACAAATGACCAACTTACTTTTTATAATTTCTTTTATTGACTGGCTTATGCTAATATATTATTTCCATTCATTTTCCAACATCAATATAAGGAAACCCTAACAATGTTTTTAGATTAGATATATTTCTACTTTTATCGTTTAACACTTTATAGAATAAACATTCCAGAAGTGCCACGATACCGCCTCACTTTATCTACATTCAACACAATTTATTCTGACTGTGAATATATGAAAATCATACATGTGAGCTGAGGATAAAGACGTGAATACAAAAGCGATCTTCGCAGCAATGAACATTACTTGAGCAGTAGTGAAAATAAGGCCTGAAAAAATTCAGGTCTGTACGGGAATTGAACCCATGACCTCTGCAATACCGGTGCAGCGCTCTACCAACTGAGCTAACAAGCCAACTGGGAGCTGGTTATTATGTTGGTTCCATATAACTCCGTGAAGTGATAAATAAATGACTGTGAATATGTGAAAACTTATATGAATTTTATCTGTAGTTCACGGTCTGTTTAGACTAACGTGTTTTTAAACAAATTTTCGCCTCATTTAGTACAGCATTAACTGACACAGTATAAGATTCCGTCACTTTTGAATACAATCGCAGCATAGCCTAGATGATGAAGTCGCTTCATCTATCTACTTGGAAAACTCTAACGTAGCAACGCATAAATTTAAGGGCTCTATTCAAGTGCTAATTAGTGCTTTATAGAATAAACATTACAGATGCGCTGTGATACCGTCCCACTTTATCTGCATTCAACACAACGAGTGTTTTAACAAATTTTTTTCTCATTTGGTACAGCATTAACTAAATTCGGAATCGTCTTTTTTTTTTGCTTCAAGGTTCACTGCACGTCTCTGCCTATGAAGAAGACGAGGGATCCTTGCTAACTAGCCATCTTGGTATATCAACGTCTGAAGCTGGATGGAGAAGTTTGCCTTTCTGTCCAACCAAGGGTAAGGTTAGGGGAAAGCATTTATTGTTTTCAGGCACAGATGGCGTTGGTTTCATGGCGGAAATGCAACAAGAAAGAGGCATTGAATTAGATGTCCCAGTGCCGGTTAAACTGAGTGCAAAGGATACTTATCCAGCTGTTTATCAGTTCATTCCAGCAGAAGACATTTCAAGTACTCAACTTGACATAACTGTCACTTCTGAGTCTGATGACGTACCAGCTTACTTAAAAGTATCACGTAACTGTAAGGATGTCAAAGACAACATTAACGTTGTGGACTATAAAGGAGAGTCAATCCGTCTGTCGTTCGCCAAAAGGGGACGGATTACTTTGTCCAAGTTCTCCACTCCACCTTTGACCGCTTCCTCTTCCAGTTGGTTCATTGGGATTGCAATTAAAAACGCCGCTGGCGAAACTTCCCCTAAAGCCACAAAGACGGTTGAATTGACTTTGACGAGATCATTTGATTACTCATACGCTCATCCATTGTGGATTTCGCAACTTGTAATCAATGTTTTAGGTGGTGTTGCTATTTCTCTTTTGGCATGGTTTATTTTTAGAGTGAGAGATTGCGAGAAGTGCAAGAAGTGCATAAAGGGAAAAAGTAATAGTACTCCGGATAATTTTAGTTTAAGTATAACCCCCGGTGAATTTTTCTCAGCTATGCTGGCCGTTCTGTTTATTCATTCGTTCAGTCGGGGTCCCAAAACGTATTCTTACATCACAATTATTGTCGGTTCGGTTTTAATGGTGGGTTCATTCCAGTTTGTCTTTGCAGACTGGTATTTAATGATTCAAGAGGGCGACAGAGATCACTGTTATTATAACGATTTCTGTTATCGAGTGCGCTATGCTGATATTCCCTATAATTTAATTGTTAGTAATATTATTTACGTCTCGCAAGGCTTGATTTTAGCTATAAATGTTCTTTGCATGGAGTCAGAGGTACTTGCTCGATGTAGGAAACTTGCCAAGGAACAAGGAAAAAAGCTGAAACCAAAAGAGGAAGAAGAGCACGCAAAACCACATTTTAAACGCGAAAAGAAAGAAATGAAAAAGAAACTACTAGAAGAGGAAAAGGGGGAGCAGAAATCAAGAGATATAAATGAAATAAAGGTGCAAGATGGAAGAGAGAATAGAGATAGAACGAGCGAGGATCAGGATCATTCTACAAAAATTGAATCCCACGAAAGGTTACCTAATCACGTGTTAAGATGTCCCGATATTTCGCTTCATTTCAGAAAAATGCATGTTCCCAGAGATACCGAATCTCCTGACGAAATGTTTCCTGCAGCAATTAAAAAGAAGTATAACTTTTCTTTGGGCTACGCTCAAGCCTGGGCCTTGTTGTTTGTAGGGGCATTTTCAGCACTTTATCATCTCTGTCCGAGTAGGTTGACTTTTCAGTTCGATACAGCTTTTATGTTCGTGAGTGCAGGTTTAAGTATTGTTTGGTGCTATAATGGCATTGAAATGCAGGAATGCTCAGCAAGTGTAAGCGCTAAAAATCGTGTAGGAGCAGCAAATATGTTTCTTTACTTCGTAGTTCCTATGTTAATTTTCAATTATCTTGGAACAATGTATCATTCAGAAGCAGGGCTCGCCAAAGTGTTCAGAATCCCGGTCTTTATACTTCTCGTTCTCTGGTTAGTAATCTTGCTATCGTGGGCTGGATATAAGTTGTTTCCTGAGATGTGTAGTATAGCCTGCTGGAACTCTCTTGTTCAGAGGCGCTGTTCCAGTGAATGTTGTGAAAACTGTGAAAGGTTCTCCAAGAAGATCCGTGAAAACAAAGTGTTGATAATAGTTAGCTTTTTTGGTCTCTTCCTCTTTCCGATTTTGTTTGCGAGCCTCCGGATTGCTAAAGTATTAGAATTTACCGACGCCTTTCTCTATCTTTGTTTAACAGAGAACGCTGTTGCAGCTTTCGGAACTTTCATTCTCGGCAGCTGTTTTGGCAGCCAGTCAGACTCCAGTGGATGTAACAAATGGTGTAAAATTTTATTCCGCTTTTTGCAAATTCCTTTTTTTGTGGCAGCCTTTGTCATTTTGGAAACAAATGAAACAATAGATAAGAGTAAGTCTCCTGAAAAATCTCGTGATTTAAACAGAGAATGTAACTTTATGGGTTTCTTTGACTGGCATGATATATGGCACATTTTTTCCTCGTTTGGTTTCCTTATTTCGGCACTAGCGATGATCCATGATAGTTATGAACCTCCAAAAGAGATTCAAGATGGTGATAGGCCTAATTATGGCTCAACTCAAACTTGTGTATGATAGCATTGAAGGCGCGCTCTGATTGGCCACTGAAATTCCAAATATCATTTGCAAGTCGCCTCTGAGCAACTCGTGCGGGATCTACGCCCAAAAATATTATAACTGCTACAGGAATAAATGAGTTAAAATCACCTTTTTGTGCTATATTATGTAACTGTTTTAGCATATACAAAAACAACTATTTACTTCAGCATTGCTGGCTGGCGGTGGATATTTACTTCGCCGCTTCGCAGCTCAGAAAAAAAAATCCACCTTTATGATTCATCAAATATTTTTGCTCGTGCGCGATTGCCTTCACGCTTTGCGAGAAAGAATATTCCCCGGCTAAAACTGGGGGATATCCGAGGATATCACTCAAGTGATATTTCCCAAGTTTCAAACGTTTTACATGCACTACGATAAGCCTTCGTTCAAAATTTAATTCAAGATGAGAGAGCGATTTTAGGTTGTTATAGAAGAAGGGAAATATTTTTTTTGTTCATAAAGTCGTACCAGAGAACACTCAAATGAGTGAGCGGCAAATCCGCTGTAATCATAGAGTTAACACAACTGACGTGATGTACTTTAAAAATTGTAAATTTTATGCCGGTTTTTGTTGTAACCCTATGCCTTAAGAACAATTGCAGTCTAGAAGTTATAGTTTTTCATGCTGGTTTGCTTTTGTATCATTTGTAACATATTACTGATATTATTAGATGCAGGTAAATAGTACTTCACATGGCAGGAGATCTAGCAAGCTCTATTGAGCTTTTAGAAAGATCTCCTCGAAAGTATTTCTATTTAGCTAATCAATCAAATTAAATGTTGGTAGCCTTCTTCAATTGTGACATGTTTGTATTTTTCATGATTCCTTCAGTAGAATATCACCGCTGGAATCCATAATCAAATGCAAAGGTTTTGCAAATGTTATTCCTTGTAGAATAAAATATTTATAAAGGGGGTAAGTTTCTAACGAAACTGTGTTGCTGCATCGGTGGGAGAGTATAACAGGTAATTTAGTGTTAACAACTGAGTTGAAAACGTAAACTGGCCACCGTAACGTGACGTTTCGAGCGTTAGCCCTTCGTCAGAGTGATAATAATAATAATAATGATAATAATAATAAAAATAATAAAAATTTAGATGTATATACTATTTTATGATTCAAATCATGTAAATGAGGTGTAGGTTATGATGTTGTATTTGTTACACTTTACACGGTTAATAAAGTTAGTATCGTTGTTATATTCAAACATGTAGCAAGTTAAAAAATGGCGATGACATTGAAACCTGATTTTAACTGATTTAAAGATAGATCTAATAAAGTATATCATTGCAATAAATGATCAGCTATGTGCGTGACATTTGACTGTAGCGCGTCACTTTCATAAATTCCAACGTTTAGGGACTATTTATCGCCGGAGGATTTGTAGGGGGGGAATCACTTGGTTTTCAGGGGGGGCGGAAGGGGGATCAGTCGTCACTAACATAGTATAAAGGGGAGCTGTTGAACTGTAAGTGGGAGAGAGGGTCATAAGAATATTACAGAGCCTTATGGGGGATCAGGTAGATTTTTCCGTGACACGACCACAATCTTCCGACCCTCCCCCCTCCCCTCCCCCTCCCCCAAGAAATTGATAATGATTAATCCCGCAGATTCAGTTCAATCACTTTGACAACAAAGATCGGGATGATGTCATCTTTAGAATTACATGACTGCGGGAAAATCGGAGAAACAAGAAAAGTGATAAACCCTTTAACTCCCAAGACGTGATTTTTAATTCTGTCCTTTGGATGCTACACATTTCCATGAAGAATTAGTAACGAGGGTTTGATCTTAAGCAGATCAAGAAAACAACTTCTGCCAGATAAGTTTTCATAACCTGTTTGCTAAATAATGCACGGATATTATAGGGAGAAGTTACATGTTAATCTCTTCTGAGAGTTAAAGACGTTAGCAGATTAATGATTACTTCGGCTCTCTAAAAGGAAAGACAACATAATTTAATTATTGTTCCTTATGACCATAATATCTGACAACGTTTCCGCACAGCCTCATACCTCATTATTACAACACGATGTCAAAAAACAATAGATCGCCATTGGACTGCGGCTTTGTTTGATATTTAGTCTTTACGATCAATAGTCATCTTCTCCTTGCTGCTCCCTATATATTTCCAATGGTACTGACGTGGAGAATTGTTTAACAATCAAAAGGTTCTTAAGTTGATGTTCATTTCCTTTGTTCTCCTGACCCTAGTTTTATCTTATTAATTTTTTTATATTTAGGATGATAGGGGTCAAAAGATTAAATCAAGAAAGAAAACTGAGAGTGTAAAAATCTGGCATATTTTGGGCAAAGCTTAATCACAGAAGAATCGACCTTGAACGGCGGTTAGGAAAATGAGGACTGCGCTTCTCAAGCCCTTTTTTTGGTTAACGGAAGGCAAAGGAGGCTCTTTAAAACGAAATTGTGGGTCAAGAGGACTGTAGTTCTCTTTTTCCTTTGATTTTTTCTATGATATATATGCTGCTTAACTCCACGAGCGAGTGCTATACTCACGGTCACTACTCTGTATTAAGAGTTATTGATCTATATAGGAGTGTGGCCGGGAACCGAACATGTGAGAGGAGCACAAGGCGCGGAAATGCTTGGTTGTTTGTTTTGTAGTAGTTTGTTGAAATGTTAATCCTATGGGTCTTTTGTGGTTCAATGACGTCAAGAATGTTTGGACTTTGCAAACAAAGATAACAAACTTTGTTTTCAGTTCTTTCAACGAAAACAAAGAAATCACGTAAGATGACTAAAGATTCATCATAAGTGCAGACCATATTCTGCTGCTGTTTTTAAAGCGGGAAAGGTAGTTTAGCTGAGTAAATAAACGGAATTTTCACAGTGGATCGTTTATCACATTTAATTCGTGTTCAGACTGAAAGGATCTTTAGTGAGATTAATATCATATTTTCTTTATTCACCAAAATAACAAAACAAACAGTCAATATTCTGTAAAAGGGTAGCTTTCCGAACTTAATACAACTGTAAGGGGACATAAATCCCAACACAAAACGAAAAAAGTAAATTGTTAAAATCTCAATCGAGACGACGCGGAAAAAATAAACCGATTGTTGTCTCGTTCGTTAGTTTTTTTTGGAAAGCTTTAGGCACACCCTTGCTTGTGATTATCATTTCGTGACAGCAGAGAACGACTAATATATAATAAACAGTCATCTGAAAAGAATATTAATCTAGAAGGATGCTATCGTCATATTCTTTTCATGGTTACAAATTGTTCAAAAGTTCAACTACTTCTGTTACGTTTGTACAAAGTGATCACATAATATCATCAAAATATAACTCAAAACCGAAATGTTGTTTTTAAACTACACTCTGACTGAAGAGAATGTCGTATAAAGTTTTTTACCTCAACCACCATAGAATATCTTACAGTTTTCATAGTTATTTTAAGCAAGAAGCTTAGTCATGAAGTAGTCAGATCAAACTGCATTTTGAGTGTCTAACTCACTGGATTTTGTTGTGTCTAGATCGTTCTGATCTCGGTCTCCTACTCCACCGCGACACACTGTGCCTGATTTCCACTGACATTTTAATAATCTTCTGTAAGCGTCACGAAACTCGGCGATACGAAAACAATATATCCAGGGATTCATTGAAGAGTTGCTCAAAGCCAGTGTCCTTGCCCAGTTATAAGACACGCCAAAATTTGCTTCTGCAAACACAGAGCGCAGGTAAAGGAGTGGAAACCAACAAATCGTGAAAATAACGACAACTATGGCTATTGTGACCGTCACGCGACGCTCAACCATGTGCTCAGAAGGTGTACCCCTAAGTGACTGTCCACGCAACCGCTTGAGAGTCGCCGAACCTTGTTTTCGGACTCTAAAAATGATTAAACTGTAGCACAAAATGATAATCAGATAACAGATGCCAACAGCTGCGACTGTGAAATAAGAAGTACCTTTCTTGCTCACTGTCAGACGTAAGATCCCATAGATTACCGGCAAAGTCCACGAGAAAACCAGGGCGATTTTGAATCGTTTTTTCGTGCGGTAGCTTCGAAAATCATGCGGCCGCAGAATCACCAAGCACCGATCAATGCTTATTAAGCAGAGATGAAGAACAGACGCAGAGCATGACATGTTGGCGATCAGACGGAACGCCTGGGAAACAAATTCGTGGCATTCGTCGCGTAACTGTAGGCCAAGGAAAACTGAAAACAGTGGTTGACTGAGTGCAGTTACCATCAAATCAGCCACAGCCATACTTGCTAACCAGTAATTGGAAATGATCTGTAAACTGGCATTCGTGAAAACTGTTCCGATCACCAATAAATTACCAATTGTGCCAATAATCATTGATAAGATGTTTACGGACAACAATCCACTGATATGGCCTTCAGACAACTGGCAAGGCTGTGTTGTAGATGGGCTGGTTGAAACATTTACGGGGTCTTCCATTGCGACGATTCCTCGATAACAATGATTGTGCGGAAACTCTGTCTCTCAAATTCTAGCTCGAACCGTGTACGTTTAACGATGGCTCACCCCCAACTGTCAGTATTCTAATAACGTATAGGATATTTAACCTAATACTTGTGTAATGAGCATTTCTCTTTCGTCACGTGCGGAGTTAGTTTCCGGTATGGCGCCCACTTGGATAACCGGTATTTTACTAATGACAGTTGTGGCCGGGATCTTAAATCCTCGTGTGAACAATAAAATCGTAAAGTAGAACCAAGAACAAAAGCTTGCAACATGTAAGTTTAAATTACAATTTCATTTGATGCGTGACTTGCAAATAACAATGAATAATATTATTAACGTCGTTTCCTGCGGCAATTAATAATTCGAATCTCTTTGATGAGATCACCGGGCGCGTCCATTTAAAATATCAAAGTCGTCCACTTTGAGCAAGCGTTCAGGAAAAGCCTTTGATAGAATAAATCCAGATGTGGCTTTCTTTCAAGTACTTCAGCTCTGTATTGCGTGCAGGTAGATCACTGATAAAATTGCATTAGAGCTGGATACACACACCGCCAGCTCAGTTTCTAGTGATGCGCGCCAAATATTATTAACTATCAAAATGTGATCAATTTTCTTTCAGAACACCCCAGTAATATTTTATGTACCGGCAAAATCTCTGACCCTTTGTGCAAAGGAATTTCCAGAGAAAGATCCGAAGTTCCCTTAGGGACTCAAAGCGACTTAAGTCCAAGTAAATCTGTATGAGAGGAGGTTGTTTTTCTTCCGAATACATTTTTTCGCACGCCTTTGAATCCTTCAGACATCGTTTATTTTTTCGACCTACCACCCACCCGTTGCTTTCAGACTTCAGAAGACACTTGTCAAAATTTCGCATGAATAAAATGAATATTCCCTAAACCACAATTCGGCATTTTGCCACCCACAACGTGACACAGACATGTACCCACTCTTAAAACGACACGGTAGTTTGAAATTATTTTAATCGAGTTGTTTTTAAAACTAATTTCTATTCAGAAAATCCAGATTAGCAATAGTTTACTTTTATCAGTCTTTAACTCAAATCTGTTTTAAATTACGTTATCTTTTAATGGCTAAAAAATTGAAGAGAAAGCCAGACGTCATTTGTGCTATTTTCGTCAGTATACATTGCGCGCATCTGAAAGTTGATACACTTGGAATTTGACCGAGAAACACCTATGAGTCACGCCTGTTAAATTTCTTGTAAGATTTACATTCTATGCTTACGGCGTGGGCATCGACAGGTGGAACTTTATGGCATTTTCAATCTTATAGAAGATTTTTTTAGTTTCTTTGTTACTCTTCCCTCGCCATAATATAATTTATTTAAGTTCCAGTCATTTATTTTCTTAATCGTTTTTTGATCCGGCCATTTTGACACAAGTTTCCTTCTGAGCTTCATTATCGATCGATATCATACTGAGTTGTTGGCCTTGGAATAGAAACACTCTTATTTTAATAATTATGTCGGTAAATAGAGCTCTTAAGGTTTATTTCCTTGTAAAGCGGAAAAAAAATCCTAGGATTATGTTGGCTCATAGCCGGCAGATGAATTAAACTTGGCCCCCAAAATAAGTTCAATCATCGTTCAGATTCATCTGGCTCACTGTTATTTTGTTAGTTTTTCTTGTAACAAGCTGGCGTGTTCCTTACAAGAAGGAAGTTTAAAACGAACGGCCTCTACACACGAAATACCTGGGCAATGAGTTGTTGATCAAATGATAAATCTTATTGATTTAACTAACCACGCAAATCTACTCTGACAAGTTTTCAACACTTAATAAGACTGATATATATCGGTGAAGAAGGTAATCACCCAATTATGTTCTCACTATCGGGTTCCGTTCATTGTTAAGTAGCTTCTTTTCTTTTCGTAAAGACAAAAACGCGTTCTTAGTTTTTTCTTGTACGTGCGCCAGGTCACAGATCCGGTACAATGCACTGCGCTTCGTCTACAGCCGTTGCTACTTCAAAGCATTTACCGAAGGTTACAAAATATTGTCAAGTGTATTTGTGGGTTTTTCTTTTTCCAGGCTGATAGTTATAGCAGCTATAAATACTTTAAACGATGAGTTGTATTGATCTGGGGTAAATTGTTGTATTGTTCTTGTTGTTGTTGTTGTTGAGAAAATGCACAAGGGTAAAACGGCATGTATTTTATGTCTTCATAAATGGTTTCTGCGGAAAGCTTCTTGAGAATGCTTTATGAGATTTACTTGGTAAAATTTCTAATCTTCATTCGCGGTGCGCGAATCTAATAAACGGAATTTTAAGAAGAAATTCTGAAACCACATACAGAGCATTCTTCATGTGATATTGGCGTTTTGGGTTGAATAATGGCTAGATTGCAGAAAAACATCTGTCCGCATCCAGTAAGGTAAACGTTAGCCACTTGAGAAATGTCTGGCTCTAATATAAATAGGTTACACGAACAAAGCATAACAAATTAGTCCTTATCAAAGATGATTGTTGCGTCTTCTGCATTGTACTCAGAGTCGCTTTTTCGAGAAAAAAAAATGTATTGAATGCTCTGGAAAAGAAAACTGGATTCCTCATTTTGATGACGTAAAAGGAGGAAAAGCAGGAGAGAAACATAAGCTTGTGACAAAATTTGCATGTTTTTGACTGTGATGTGTCGTCATCAGTTCAAAGGCCAAGATTTCTCTCGTCACTGTCTCACCCATGGACTGAATAGCTATCATACGCTCACGTTACGACCAAACATTAAAGGTGGCACGGCAGGCTTTAAATACTTGAGGAGCTACATTCTGTCGAGGGGGGGAAACCGAGCGGGATGTTGGAGAAGTAGAGCTGTTGAGCACACAAGATCATGTTAGCCTTTCACTGGCGTTTAAAAAAATGGGCCGAGATTGAGAAAGTGCGCCAGGGCCCTGGGATGAATCACAAGCTAATCACTTAATACGTTAGGTCAATGAGAGGTAGAAACACTGAACATGCAACTGCAAGGATAATGTTGCAATAAATCCGATTAAGAAAATCTTTCGTCGTTTATTTAAAACCATGTAATAAACGAAGAAATCGAATGTTTTGACCTCGTTTTAAGCAATTTTTCAACTATTGCAAAAGCCGTTTTAAACGGTATATTAAACCGTTTATTTTTTTATATGATTTAAATCCCAAAACTGACTTCATCGCATCGAAGTTCACCTTTCCTCGCTCTATATCACCTTAGAAAACGGAAGGAAACGAAATCACCTGAAATCGCACACTGCCTCATAAGCTTAGCAATTCCCGGGCGGAAAATTATATCGCAGAAAACGGCACTCTACGAATGAAGTGATAAGGTGTCAAACAAATTATTTAATGATACAGTAATTTGGGTGGGTCATGTAAGTGTTAACCATGTGCTATTTATAAGCGCACAACAACGGTCAGCTATCTTACAACGGTCATTTTGCATGATTCCATTCATTCACAATTTGTGAACAGCCAAAAAGATTGCAACATCACATTTTGGCAATGAACTACGCATTTGTTAATTTTATTAGTAATCATTCTTTTCACTGGGCTCACTTTAAAAAAAATAATGATGGCTTTCAGAGAATCTGCTGTGGATGCAGTTCCTACATTTTGATGACTTTTCTCAATTTACAAGACTTCAGCTTGTTCATCGCAGTACTTTCAAACGGCAGCGATCAAACACAGAAATCTGTCCCTCAAAACGACAACTTTAAGCTTCTCTCGCCACCTTTTGATGGAGGCCCTCGACTATAAATACAAATCCCAGACTTCCATAGCGTTGAAATAAATGCGAGAATTGGACGGGGACCGAAACAAAATGCACTTGAAACAGAACTTCGAATCTCTTCGCAAAGGCTGACGAAATTTTTGAGATTTCGAACAGAAAAATTTGCGATACCAACAATTTGACAAAGTAACATTTATTACCTATAAATATCAATCTTCCGGAGGCAACGCCAGCTAAACCTCTTGAATTGCGTCTTCTTTTCAAGAACGGATTCAGTCAGTTCCGGGAACACCTGAACAGGCGTTAAATAATTTGCCAACATTCTTTCACCTGGAAGTTGTAGAGTTGTAATTATGATTACAAGCAGGTTTTGTTTTTGAGGTCTAGGGCGCACAAACTAGCAAAAAATGACAATAAGAGAAATGATAATCTTCGCTAAACTTCTTTGTCAAAACCCAGGACCTAACTATTAAGTAGACAGGACCGGGGACCTAAATGTAATATAGCAGTCTATTTTGTTTGTGTTCTTTATGTGTCCGTGAAAATCGTCATCAGTTGAAGGTTTGTCATTCAAATATCTCTTTGGAACAAAACGTAGAATTGGCTCAAAACTTAATGTTGTTCCTTTACCTCACAGGGGTAATTATCGGCAAAAATAAAGACATAGGAAATCTGCCAATTTTGTATCCCACTTGAGGCAAAGTGTGACACATAGATCACTCGAGTAAATAACCGCCATCGAAATAATCTTCAATCAGTGGGAACCCACTAAGTTACAGCCGGAAATTTAAACTTTGAACAAAACACACGCAATCGACTGGAATGTTCGTTGCATATTTGAAAAGAAAAACATGGATTTATTTCCATCACCAACTTTTTGTTTATTTTTTGTAAATAACAGAAGCTGAGAAATTTTTTCTACAGCAAGACATCTGCTGTATTAATTGTTACTACAAATTCAAACTTTCTGAAATTCTATATTAATTAATAGCTTAAAGCCTGTCTTTATTACCTATGGAGCTGATACATTCATAATGTGATTTACACCCCTGGATCCAAATGTCGCTTAATCCTAACACCTGTATCACGCTTGTCTGTGAACAGTCACTCTTTATTTCAGCGCTATGCGCCATTCATGCGTTTCATGGTCGAGTCACGGAGTCTCGGATAATACAACCGTGAGTTCAGTGCAAAACTAGTGCGGGAGGGGGGTGGGGGAAGGGAAAACGTTTCTGAACGAAACACAAGCTGTCGCCTTATTACCTAGAGTAGTTAAGTTCTGTCCTCCAGAGTTCCATCAAGCCCCTGAAGGGTGGAAGGATACCCCGTGTTCTCGATAACAATGGCCTGTGGGAAGCCGCGCCCGTTTAAGGAAAATTTTGTGGCTTGACACAACTAAGAAAAGGAAATGGTAGATTATTCCTCGTGAATGTATTTAAAAAGAGCCTGTGATGTTTTTCTGTAACACAGTTCATAGCTTTATTCTCTGGGTTTCGAAAAGAAATCAGTGTGGAAGGAATAGAATTTTTTAATGGAAGGTATACGAAAGGGTTATATTCCCTGTTAAAAATACAAGTCCATCGAGTCCCTCGGGCGAGGCTTCTCCTCCCCTCCCCTCCCCTCCCCACTGTCTCTTGCAAAGTAACCAAATATGGCGGCACAATAATTGAGCGATTTAGGCGCCAATATAGCATGAGCTGTCAGTGATGTCTTGATGTCCCAAATACTACAAAGAGGAACTGTTCACGGTAGAATATCTCACCTTAATCTAACCCTAAAAATTACAGGATTACACCATTTATCTAAGCTAGCAAAATTAAACCAGTGTCTGAAGATCTTCGATCCAATGGTTGACTGGCCGTATAGACTTGCACTTGGTGTACACCTGAGCTCCCATTTTCTTTAAGATCGGAAGATCAAATGTAAGAAGCTCATCCGCGTCCTTCAGGCTGTTCATGCGCACAATCACCCAAACCTGTAGGATGTTTGATAACATGAATTTAGAGATGATCAAATACGTTGAGGTGACGAGAGAGGAATGAAAGAAAACTGGAGCATAAGAGGTGTTGGGGGGGAGGGGGGGGGGGTTAGTCCTACGGTTTTCTAAATGAAATGAGAAAAGACAGCTGGGTGGGCGACTCTGATGATGGCTTCCGCTTTGGATGTCAACACTTCAGTCATAATCAATGCCAAGATGACGATCGAATTTTCTCCGTGAGTTGAGCCTGTTGTCCAGACTGGGAGGTATGCTCTGCTTGTTGTTCAAAAACAGAAACTTAATGCAACCGGAAAACTCTCCCGGGGAAAAAAAACCCAAACATGATTTTGTTTAGTCGCTTTAACTGTGCAAAAATGATCTTAATCAACGAATCATTCCGCAGAGAAGAAGGCTGGAAGACACTTGCCATGACAAAAGGAGTGATCTCGGCGGAGTTTCATACCCAGTTGAACTCTTTATCTGAGCACATAAAGATTGAACTTTGAAACCGAAAAACTAGACAGAAAGGCGCTCAAACCTTACAAATAATCGACGTAATTTATTAGTATTTAAGGCAACACTGCACCCTTTCAGTGTCGTTCGCCCGGTAATTCAAATAAAAAATGCGTCCATTGGGTTGTTTCGTTGTCAGAGGATTTTTTTCCTGGTATGTTTCTCAATCATTGATACAAGCAAACTGATCAAAAAAAAAAAGGGACAAAAAAAAAAGGGGGAAAATCCAAGTTCAGTCAAGCGAACATGAACTTTTGACCCTCCGAGGGATGCTCTACGACTGAGGCTCTGCAAGACTCAGGGTAGCGGGTTTTATATAAAAAAAAAGCTCTGCACACCGATTGGACATGAAATTGAATTTGAAGCTTTTGTGAAACTGACTGGAAATGAACTGTGTAGTATTCGACACCTGATTCTTACCTGTCGTTCTGCCACCACTTTCCACAAGTCCACAATGTCTCCTAGTTTCTTTGCTTCTATAGCAGATACTGCTTCGTCAGTCCAAGTGTTGCAAAGATCCAGTTGCGTTATGCCTGATTCAGAGACGAAGAGTCAGTCATAGGACTATACAATCGACGAACAAAGTCTGTCCTGTGACATGCAAAATGTTATGAAAGAAAATGGTAGTAGTCCTGTGGCTCATGAATTGAATTACACGCATGCGTAAGTGTCAGTGAAAAAAGAAACCGGTTCCTGGTTCAATAAATTTCTCTAGGAAAATTGATTTTTTTGTGGGAGAACATAACATTGATACATTAGGAGCGAGCTTAGGAACACTGGAAAACGTTCATTGGTCTTCGTTTGACGAGATAATTACAAACCTCCTATAGTGACCATGAAAAACGGCAATGCAGTTAATTATGGTGACTGGAAAAACTTTCCGTATTTAAACAATTTTGCGCAACATTCTCGGTAAATTCGAGTATCTTTTTAACACTTTAGAGCATATTGTGGACAGCCCCGATTTTAGGTCCTTTCAGTCTGAATAAGAGGACAACAGGTGCAGCGCTGGGTAGATCACAGAGGTACAAGGACGGTTCTTCATAAGAGAAAAAATTTGAGGCAAACCAACCATTATGTACATTCTTAAAGCACCTAAAGGGAATTGACAAAACACCATGAGCAGAGAAGCCACTGTACTGGTGTTATATGAATTTTCTTGGAACGTCTGCAAGTGCGTTTCGTGACGCATGACCGGTCAAATATTGGCTTCAAACAGACTGGTGAAAAGAGTAAAACGTTATCTCTTAATGTGATATAAACATACCCATATACTCGACTCGAGACCACAAGAAGTAATACAATCCCTCTTTGGTCACGCTTTCCACATGAGTCGCGTCCAGGCTCCGATTACATCTCTCGGCAACAGTTCCAGCGAAATCCTCATAGGGTCTAAAAGGTTTCACCTCGGTTGTGATGCGAACGTCCGCTGATTGTTGCTTTAACAGAGTCGCAAAGCAAATGTCCAGTTGTCCTGGTGACTCCACACTGAGAACTGGAATGATACAAAATAAAAGAGGGAAATTAGATTCGCAAGGATAAAATTTTAATTTTAAGTAACGTCATGGGCTCCTGGCAATGTATAAGATGAAAGATGAACCACCCTGAAAGCGAAGGGTGGTGGTGGGGAGGGGGGGGGGGGGAGGAGGAGGAGAAGAAGTACGGGTAGAGGTGTGTTTCGCTGGCTGTGAAACTCTGACAGACCCTTTTTACGAAGATATCCTTTCATTTTACTGAGCTATTTAAGGACAAATGAACAGATTTAGGAGGTAAGTTTCCGAAAAAAATTGTGGTGCTGCGTCGGTGGGGTTTTCTTTTTTGGTTTTTATCAACCGAGTTGATGATTTAAATTCGTCAGACGAAGGGCTAACGCTCGAAAAGTCCGGTTACCAATTTACACGATAAACGACTTAGTTGACAAAAACAAATTATCTCATTTAAGGACAAACTGTGACAGGTTGTGGTATATCGATCTCATCCAGCCACTCAAGGCAAAGAAGGAGTATTCAGTATTCAGAAATTGCCCTCATTTCAGAATCTGACTGTTTATGAATAACAGAAAAAAACGAAGCAGAGCCAAATACAATTAAAAAAATACTAGTTAGGAATCATTTGAAAAAGCTTGTTGGAGAATATAATGTTGCGTAACAGTGACGTTAGGTTGGTTGAAGAGTACAGTAATTTAATGCAACTCGATTTAGCGTCTGTTTTGTGTGACCTGAGAACTTAATTTCACAGCTTTCTTGCGTAATAACTTTAGTGTAACCTTTGAGCTAAAGCATTACTATTGCACGACACTCTTTTTTTTCTAAATAGTTCTGTTACTGTTGATAAATCTTTTTGTGATATAATGAAGTCCGGCCGCCTAGAGGTATACATGACATGGTTTCCCTTTGCTAAAAAGTGACAAAGACCACTTCAACGCACTCACCTCCTATCAGTTTATTTTCTCCGCATATCTGAAAATATAAGATCAAATGAAAAAGAAAGTCATCCTTATTTTGTTAAAGGGGCGTCTCCCGTTTGGGCGCGTGCAATATTCTGGGACACTGACATTGTTAAGGAATCATGAAGAATAAGAGTGGTGCCCGAGGTTTTAAAGTTGTTTTTAACACGACAGGCTTCATAAGCGAACAATCATATGAAGTGTATGCTTTGTTCTATGACACCACGCTTGGTTAATAACGCGCATATATCATGACCGTTACCTAAAGCAGGACGGTGAAGGATTATGTGGCTACGTTGCGCTTAGAAGTCCATTGTTTTCCAAAATCGAGTATCCTTTAACGTACTTACTTTCTATTTTGAACTTTTGACGGGGATGGAAAGGAAAAACCTGCAAACCTCAAAACTCGCGGCCAAACTGAACATGAACTTTCGAATCGCGGAGGTAATATTTTTGCGCGAGGCAGTTGCTTGCTGACGTCACAAGCGTGCACGATAAGGATATTCGAGGCACGTACGCGTGTACGGTATTGATTTTACTAGCTTGACCACCAGCTAGATCTCTCGCCAACTCGCGTTGCTCGGGACGCCTTCCTTACTTTGCACGGATGAACGTAACGTCGGCTTCCCCTTCTTTGGATCGCAAATTCTTAACCTACGCGAACCGATCGAAAGGGGCGTTAAAATATACTTAATTTGACATTGAAAATATTTCAGTTGGCTTTTGTAAGTCTGGCATTGTAATAAGCTAATTTACATTTTGTGACCGCAATGTCAGCTATTGATTAATGCCGATTAAGGCGGTCGCTAAATGCTTGACAGTCTGAAATTTTCACTGAATTTCTACTGAAAGGTTCTTTAAAACTTGTTAAGAGTATCAGATGTTTGTTGAGAAATGTCAAGCGATTCTAAAAATTATTTTGGTTCTCAGCAATGTACAAATTTTCCGAGCTTCTGCATGCTATAAAATTCCTCGGTTGTCGAAACTCTGCGCTTTTGTTAATTACCTTCCAGAACTGCTTGATTTCCACTCCCGTCGTTTTCGATGGATATGCAATAAACTCCTGGGCTATATTAAGCCATTTTCGAAACACATTATGCGAGTGTTCTCCATGGAAGTCAATGGTGGTCTCAAAGTAGTAGAGCAGTCCCATGGTGCTGCCTGTAAGCTAACGACTTCTTTACGGGAAACCGAGGTGAAGGGTGTAAGCGTTTGCAGTAACTTGACAAGCTGTATAATAGGCCTTGAGTAACCTGGCAATTTTGCGTGAGAGCGGCATGTCCAATCAACAATTTTCTTTTTGTTTTTCGGGAAGCAAGAGGGGGTGGGAGAGGACAAAATTTATAGCAATTTGAAAATACTGAATTACAATGTTGAAAGAAAGCATCGCACGTGAATAATGATAAGGTCAACTCTCTAGTAAAGACCGCTCATTACGCAACCACTTTCCTTACCACCTTAACAGTGAACGTTTTGTTTCACAATAAACACACGGAAACGTTTCAAAAACTCTCACCGCTCGATCCTCTTTACAGGCCGTTCTTTAGAAGCAAAGAAACATTTGCCTGGACCATTCAATTATATTTTGTCTTAATGTATTCCGACAACGATCACGGCTGAGCGCTATCCAGATTTGCTCTCTGAACTTGCAAGACGGGCCGTACTTTTAACGTTAGGTCGCCACCCGGATCTGTGTTCTCATGGAGTTTGTTTTACTGAGTTTTTATCTTTCAAGTTTCTATTTAAAGGTTATTTCGGTTTCAGTACAGCTTGTAATCTTCCTTTTAGTGTCCACTGATGTATGCTTAATGCGAAGAGCCCTGATTGAATGCACAACAAGGCGGTTTTAAAAAATCTCACGCGAGCCTATCATGCCATGATTCTGGCATGTCCAACGGCCGAGCGCTGGCTAATCCCAAAGAGAGCCAAAAGCTGAAATGGGGCAAAAAAAAAAAAACCTTAAAGTGCAGTGCACTGGAAACAACTTATGTAAATTATTACCTTGAATCGAATGGATTTTCATTTCAATTTTAAATGAATAAGCAAATGGATCAGAAATTGCATGGTTTGAAGTTTCATCACCAGAAGTGATCCCATGCTTAACTCGCCAAATGTGAATCAAAGCATAAGTCACGGAGTAGTATTTTATACACTCGATTGCAAAAGCGTTGACATTTGAAAAGCACGACCGGCGAACGATGAGACCAAGTCAATAGTGACCCCAAATACACACTTGTGAAAACTTAAGAAAAAAATTGAATCATTCAGTTTAATTTATTCTTTGAATCAAATAAATCATATTTGTTAGAACAGCGGAGTTTTCAAATTAATCAGAGGAAGGAAAGATCATTGTGCCGGAATAAGCCAAATATGAATGGGGTAAAAAAAATAATCTGGGCAACTGCCCACCTACCCCTGCCCTAACCCAACATGCAACAACAGTCTATTGATAATAAGTTAGGGTTAATGTTGGGTTAGGGGAGGGGTAGGTGGGCAGTTGCCTAGATACTGATATTGATCCAAAAAATCTATGTCATGAAACACATATTTTCAGATTAGTTATCTGTTTTCCGCAGTACTTAGCCGCGAGGAAGACATTCGAAATTGTTCTTTCTCTATTTCCCTGACTTCTCTAATCCAGTCGTCAGCCTGGCGAATAGACTTGCATGTGATCTGGACTTTGTCACCCATCTTTTTCATGACAGGCAATTCAAATGATATCTTGTCCAAATCTCCTGGTTTTTCAACACACACAATGGCAAAAACCTATAAATAGCAGATCAGATCTTTTAACCACCAATCTTGCCAAGTCATTTTTAATCAATACGCATGTTCGCATAAAGGTCAATAAAAAATAGATAAATAAACAAATAAATGAGCATAAGTCTTAGGAAAGTTTAGAAGACTTAAGCAACGCTTTAGCGGACTGCAGCTGTATTATGTAGTAAGCAAAACCTGCAATCGAACTGTTTGGTTGAGTTCATGCATTTAAGATTGCATCATCTGAAACAACTCTGAAACCCATGCAAAGCCTAACTACAATTATAAGCTATCCTCCTTTTTGGAAAAAAAAAAAAAAAGAGGAAAAGGCAAAATTTAGAGCCAATTATGGAAGTCAAATTGATATTACCTTTCGTTGTGCTACCACTTTCCACAAGTCCCTTACAATTCCAGATTTCTTCGCTCCTAAAGCAGCTTTCCCTTCTTCAAACCAGACTTTGAAGAGGTCTTCTTGAGTCATGCCTGGAGAAGGAACAAAAACTAAATTTCATAATCAAATCAAGGCTACAAAATTATCCTTGACACAAGCAAGAGGACCTCTGTCGCTGCGTGGAACCAGGGAGACCTAACGTCGTTAACCGCCTGACTGAATGACTGACTTACTGACTGTCCGGTAGCCTTTGTAGTTGGCGATTTCAGTTAGGTGCGCTAAAGCGATGAACAGCGAAGATGGGAAAGGCTCGTCAAAGGCAGACTTTCAGTACAGAAAGTTTTATCATTACCTTCATATTCCACTGTAAAAGTGAGAAAGTAATGTAGACCATTTTTTGGTACACAATGCACAAGACTGATATTGGTATCTTCCTCCAGCCAGTCTCCAACATTGGCGGCAAAATCTTCATAAGGTCTCAATGGGGTGAACACAGTAGAGATTCCGTTTACTAAGTGTTCATAAGAAGACGCAACCCAAGAATCCAGCTCTCCTGGCGAATCCACACTGATGACTGCAGAAAAATGACGAGACGCATTGTTCAGAAGAGCGATCGATCAGCAAGTGAAAAAATTAGATGAAATTCCAAAGAAAGAAACCTATAGGGATACCCGTTAGTAAATAAGCCGTGCTTTTCGTGACAGCAGTTGTTTCTTATGTTCTTCTTTGAAATTTTGCGCGGGAAATTGGCGAGCAACCGGCTAAAATTGATCCCCCCTACGAATGCCGTAGGTTTGACCGGTGTGCATGTTCATCACTCGCGCCGCAGCGTTAATAAAAAACTTCACGTAGGCAATCGAGTACTCTGGCATCGATTCGCAGTCTTATATTCTCACCTCCTATCAGTTTGTGTTCGCCAGGAATCTGTAACCACAAAGAAAAACAAGTAAATGAGACGTTACAGGCACAGTGTGCCGCACGTTGCGTGATGCTCGTCACATAAGGCTTAATTTTATATGTGTACGGTGCTGCATATCTTTGATTTAATATCTTAGCCTATATGACTATGGGCTCAGCAGAGACGATATGCAAATAAACAAACACGAAAGAGAGATCAAGTTAAAAGTATAAACTGACCTTCCAAATCTCTCTGATGGATAGCGAGCGCGAGCCCTTGAGAGCATTATAGAGAGAAAGACACGAATGAACATATCCCTGTTCATTGAGCTTCGCAGTAGATTCAAAAAAATAGAGCAACCCCATTACTTCTGTGGTGGAATTTCGGTTACAAAGAATATCACTCCGCACAGGTTCGTATGCAGGAATTGGAGCAAAAAGTAGTGATCCCAAGTTCGACACTAACACTTAGATAAGCCCGCACCAAAATTAGTATTTTGAATGCTGAATTTTTATCATCACGTCCAGTTTAACCTGTTAAATATAGGTAGTTTTGCTTGCTAATTACTATGTGGGCTAATTATAATTTCTTTATGCCATCGTTTATTGTTAATTACGTATGAGTCGGTAGGCTTGCTATTCTATTCGGCCAAAAAAGAATAGAGCAATATTTGTGTTCCGTTCTGAAAATATTTTTGCTTTTTTTGTTTCTGTTTCTTCGTGATTTGCAGCTCAGATCTTGCCAAAATCTTAACATATCTTTTTCCACGTGTGTTTTTTTCCAGTTTCGTAATCAAAAGTGATCAAAAAGGAAAACATTACTCTATATTAGCTTTTATGAAAAAGCTAAGCCAATATACTCGCTCCGGTTGGTTGAAAAGCCATTATCTATTGTAAAGAGAAACCCATTGCTTTCTTATGACGTCATTAGGGAGCTATTTCTATCGTTTTACCAGGATATTAGACCGCAGAAAAGCTTCTTAATTACCAGCCGAAGGCAAGGTATTTTACACACGTTTCTCGTGACCACTGACATGCGAAGTAGTTTATTTTCCCGATAAACCGATAGAAAGTGCGGTGTAACGCTTGAATATGTTTTGATTGCTACAAGCTCCTTTCTTCAATTCTTTTTGTTACTCTCCATGACACGTAACCGAAAAAATATAGGAACTTAGGTAATAGCGAATAAGTTGAAAAATAACATTTATATGTATAGCAATTTTACAAGTCTAATTATGAAGGTCCTATAGCAAAACGTCATCAGATATTAAACCACGTGTTAAACATAGAGTTAAATTAATAAAATGGGATTTAGCAGTGGACATTCCACGAAGTAGCTCTTCTCGTCCGCTGTTACCAGGTCAAATTGTAATTTAGAATGTTGGTTTTTGTAGAGAGAAGAAAACCGGGTGACCGGAAAAAAAAACCCTCAGAGCAAGGACTTAGAACTAACAACAAACACAAACACATGTAATGCCGGGTCCATGAATCGAACTCGGGCCACTATGGTGAGAGGCAAGCGCCATCCCTGCTCCCCTGCTGAAGTTGATTTACTGGTTCCGGAATGCTATGCCGAATTTTATCCTGCACAGTTAGCCTTTGAATCCAGACTACTCTGGCAACAGTCAGCGTGGTTCTACCACTGATTCAGTAAGTGACCTTCTCACTACATTAGCCTTTTTCGAACTTTATATTCACCTCAATAGTATTCCTCTCCATTTCCTTTGCTGTTTGGCGGCAAAACTCGTTTGGGGCTAACACAGGGAGTGCCCTTTCGAGAATGGGCGTGGTACTATTGGTAAATGCTGCTGGCACTAGAGGCGAGGTGTAGCCATCACTCATATGCATTCAGCACCCTTTCACGGTAATCACTGCCGTTTTTCTTTCATGCGAGTGCCTACCATGAAAACCGCCGTCGCGCAGGAAGCACATAAAGAGGAAGAAAGTACGTTGAATAAACACAGACTTTGCAAGGTTTGCTTTTCTTATTTTACTGTATTTTATCATAATACCCTTCATATGACGAGCCAAAACTTCCTTACATATAACCTTCCCTGAATAACGCAAATCTGTTCTGGCTTCTTTTCTATAATATTGCTTAGATTTTAGTTCACCGACGAGGATCATTGCCTTAATTAATTTTCATCCGCAGGTGAAATGAAATGAAATCTATTTACAATGGTCAGGTAGACTTATGGCGTTATATGTTTTACGCCTGACTTCTTTGATCCAGTCGTCAGCTTGGCGAAGAGACTTGCATGTGATATGGACTTTGTCTCCCATTTTCTTCATGATAGGCAGGTCAAATGATATCGCGTCCAGATCCCCTGGTTTGGAAACACACACAATGGCAAACACCTGCAAAATAACAGCCTCGTCATTTATTGCATCCCACAATGATAAATTTACTGCGGTGATTATGCGCTTATAAGCACATGCTGATACGCCAGCGGGAACCAGGCTTAAACGATCGCAAAGGAGCAGTTTATCGCAAATCATTTCACGTTTTACAGAAACAAAAATTTCCGAATTTTTTGTTTTGGGGAACATCAGTGTTAGGCAGAACAAGTTCGATCTGCCATTGAAGGCGTTTTATGTGTTTGGATTGCAAGTTAACGGCCGGTGGGAAGTCTTAATCCGCCCTCTTACACTCCTTCCGCTCGACAAAATTAAAGCGTTGCAACAAAGGAACTCATAACCCTTCTTACTCATGCATCCGTGCGGTCATAGAGTGCACTTCTCCAGTTTTTCACAATTCACTCCCAAGCTACCTGTCAGACGAACTGGAGGGTTACAGAAGCGTGCCATGTGAATTAACTGCCCGCATGTTACCGATTGAGAGGTATTTTAATACAAAATGAAGGCTCGCTTAGAGACATTTTTGGATCGGACTGACAGGCTCAAACGTTTCGAGACGTCAGAAACAATCTTGATAAAAAACTATACAGATTTTTACTAGAGCAAATGATGCAGTTTTAATCTGATAAATAGTCGTAGATATCACGCCCCTATCTGCAAAATGAACAGACTGGACTTGAGAACAGTTTCCGTTACAGCAGTTGTATATGGACGATTTTATTTCGTAATTTCATTGGGTAATTTTTTGAATCCTTGTCAAGTTTTATTTAATTCAGCTTAGAGCGGTAATTCTGAAACTTCTATAAACTATCCATCTATCAATCTATCTATCTCGGACAGCTAGACAGATTAACACACCTTTCGTTCTGCCACCACTTTCCACAAGTCCAACACAGTTCCAGATTTCTTAGCATCCAGAGCAGCCTTTGCTTCTTCGCGCCAGATTCTGAAGAGGTCTTCCTGAGTCATACCTGAAGAAGAAACAAAATTCATGAAATTATAGTCCCAGATCAAACTAAGGCTAAACAACAGAGTCCAGTCTCTCTTTAGGAAACAAAAAGCTTTCTAGCACATCGAGGAACTGGCCAGGTAAATATTGATTTAAAGAAGAAGTGATTGTTTAACCACAAAACGAACTGACAGTGGCCATAATGAATTACAGTCGAAACTAGTTAAATGAGCTCCTTGCTTTTAAAGAAAAAAGAGAAGAAAACTGATTTGCCATATATTTGCCTGGACTCATATGAGTCGCTAGCGTGCCAACCGTACAAATAGTAGATTCAAGGGGAAGGTACGGGGTGCTTCCAGACCTCTTCCCTTCTCCCCTCCCTTCACCATCAGGTCGGCGAAAGACCAAACGACATAGCAGGTGCCAGTTTATCAAGCTATCAATCAGAGTAACAGGACCAACCTAGCCGACATGTTCTTACCGTATACGAAGAATAGCGTAATCAAAATCTATACCTTGCATGCTTGAGTAGCGAAGGTGTTGCTTTGGGAGTGAAATAAAGTTAAAATCGCAAGTAAAAGAGATTTACCTTTTAAAAAGAGGATTGAGAGAGAAAAAAATCGATTTGCTCAGATGTTTCGTGACGTCAAAAGACTTCTTTTATATAAATATAATTCTGCCAACACCTTTACCTTCGTATTCCACAGTAAATGTGAGAAAATAATGCAGGCCAGTTCTTGGTACACATTCTACTAGACTAATATTGCTTTCTTCCCCAAGCCTGTCCCCAACAGTAGCAGCGAAATCTTCATATGCCCTAAGAGGGGTAAAAACGGTAGTAACGTGGATGCTGAAACCTTGCAACCATACGGCGGACTTAAAAAATGCATCCAGCTCTCCTGGGGCCTCCACACTGACGACTGGAAAGGACAAAAGAATTATTCGGAAAATAAATCAGCATGTGGAAGCGTGAAGCAAGTTCCAAAGAGGAAAATAAACTAAATAAACCTAAAAGAATCTCTTCATAGTAAGCTATAAAACTTCGCAGACATGATCTACAGTTGTACTTCTTTTGTCATCCTGAGTGTTCAGAAAAAAAGGAAGATCAAATTGTTCTTCAAATATCTTAAACATAAAAAAAGGAAAAAGTTGTAAATTGGAAAAAGTTTCAAATTCTTAAAATCCACATACGTTATTGCTTACCCCCAATCAGTCTTGGTTCTCCAGGAATCTGTAATCAAAGATTACGTCATATATAAGACTTCTTAATTTATCCCTTGATGTCGTTATCCGCTGCTATTCTATTGAATCCGTAAATAATTCTTTGGATCGGAAAATATAACTTTAACACCAATATCCACCTTTCTTCATTGATTTAGAATGGTTCTTACAAACCTCCATTGGGAATTTCCTCAAACTTTTTAAAAAAAAGTTAAGTAAAGAAGGAAAATAACTTACAAAAATGTCTCAACTAGTGTCAACAGTCTTGTGTCACGCATTCCTTATTACCCATCCCGCCTTACTTTCACTACAACTAGCAAGCTTATCTCACGTTTATCGGATTTTATAAAATTTGTTGAAAATGCAACTCTACTAGTTGCTACATTGGCATACATTTGGCGCTTGACTCGGAAAAGATCAGTTATTTTCGAGCAATACTCTGATCATGAATCATATAATTATTAATTCTTCATTGTTTTCGCTCGCCACGAATGCATCCCCAATGAAGCGGCCAACATGTAATGAAGATAATATCTCACAGTCATTCATTTAGGGAGCTTCTTTCACTGGGTCATAAAAACAAAAAATATGGAAACAACAACCTGAAGAGAATTCAAGGGCTCAAAATTAAATTATCAAGTATCAGACCTTCCAGAAATGTTTGATGGCTCCTTTCTCACTCAATCTTGTTTGGAGGAAAGCATTATAGAAATAGCTACATAATGAATCATAATCCAATCCAGGAAATTTCGCTGTGGAATCGAAGAAGTAAAGCAACGCCATAACTTCTGTTACTTTTGTTCTCCTTAGTACACGAGGGAACGACACTCCATGGAAATCTAATTGTGCCGCGCGCGAAAGAGAGCGAGACTGGGTTAAGGATGATTTAGTTTAACTAATAGATTCATATTACAGGTGTTACAGGTGTTTCATGTTCCTCGCGAAACCAAACACCGCGTAACACAACGCGTGACGCTTTCATTAATAAATACATATGTGTCCGAGAATTAATCTTTCGTCTTTTTCGAAATGTAAGCTTGGGACGCCTCTGCTCAAACTCCTTAATTGCAAGCGCAACAACAGCCTCAAGAAACCTCACCCCAGCACCCCAGGGTTGTAAGATTGCATGTAAACGCGTTTTATTTTTCGACCACGGCTAGGCGGGTTACCTCGCATACCTGGGGTCCCCCACCTCCATGTGAACAGGTCCTTAGTTGACGCTGTAACTGTACCGTCTATAAGCTGTAATCAACGTACGTTGTCGATGAATAATTCTAACGCATGACACGACCGGAAATGGACAAGGAAAGTGTCGCAGCATGTTTCTGGATGAAATATCATGTTTGTAATTGACCCAAGCTCTTTTGTTTTCTTGAGCCTCAGACTAATTTTTTTTCGCAAATTACAGATTTCCATATTGCAAATCATCAGCATATTTCCATTTCGCAAATCTGTAATTTGCGTAATACTGTTGGGAGAAATTAGATGTTTAAGGGTTAAATATGGTGATTTGAGTGATACTCAAGTAGTTGTTTCATGTGATTAACAAGATAAAATTGCAAAGCATATGTAAAAAAAACTGTCTGCAGGCAGACAACTAACAGTGTGAACTGTATATAATTCTGTGCCAGGTGAAATCAGCTTTTTAAGGAACTAATATCTGATTTAGTCCCAGGAATGATGGAAATCTACTTTAAGACATTAGGATGAAAGAGAAACTAAAGCCTAGCTAATAATACCGTAAACGTCCATGTATAAGCCGCACTTTTTTTCACAAAATTGAAGCCAAAAATCAAGGGTGCGGCTGTGTTGGACTTCTCAAAAACCTAACTAATATTCATAAAACTTCTAAGAATACTATCACAAATATTTCAGTGGTCTGCCAACAAGGAGAACCTAAGGCACAGCCAGATTAAAGATCACCATGCAGCCCTCCTGAGCTACCAAGATAAAAAGCAGTAAAGGTTTTCTGCATCTTTATTTTAACGAGCTAAAGTGATTAATAAAGCTACAATAGAGAAAAACTTCTACAACCAGCTTATTCAAATATCTTGTAGCGTAAAAGTTTGCAGCAGGAATGTCATTTTGCACAATGGCAATCTTTGTACTTGGTGGGAATTTACTTCACCAACATAGTTCAACATGAGAGATGTTTCTGCTCGGTGCTGATTTTTGCATTTACTTTTCAAGAAGCACCACATTAACATCCAACGAAACATAATATTCAGAACTTAATAACAATGTAAAATGAAGTTGGTTTTTGGCAATCAGTGACATTTCACCAAATCTGCAAACATTGCAACCACAAAATATTTGTTACACAGTGGTACATGTGAAAATCATTATTTCTTCAAGGCAAATCTGTAAGTTGCTGTCATCTCAGCAAATAAGTTGAAATGAGTAAAATAAAGGTACTTGACTATATTTTAACCCTTTAACTCCCAAGATCTCATTAGTAATTCTCCTTACTATCTGCCAAATGATTTTCATCATGTTAGTTTGGAGAATTTGGTATTGAATCAATTAGTAATCATATAATTGATATTTTTCTTTATTCTCATCACTTGTCTGCATGATATTTTACAGATGTAGTAAGGAGAAATTCTTTCTTGGTCACTCACGGGAGTTATAGGGTTAAGGAGACACCGTGAGATCTATGACTTGAATTTGTGGATTACTTCCACCACAATTTTCATCACCATTAGAAATCTTCTTGGGTACAATTTTTGGTGGTGTATCAAATGTCAGATCAATAACAGTATTTTGTTGATTGGAGTCACTGTAACAGTCAACAGAAGACTTTTTGATTGGCAAGAATGATTCACTGCCCTCTTTGATTCTCCAGAAGCCTTCAGGAGTAAACTCCACACTCTTCATATCTTCAGGCACTGATTCTAAAATCCCCTGGATAAATCCATCTATTACCAACTCAGAAAGGGGTGTAAGGGTTTTGCAAATCTGAAAATAGAGAGCAAGCTGAAAATTAGCCCACTTAGCAGGCATACTCTCTGGAGAGTGAGCACTAATTATTCTGATCGAGTGATCAAGCCTCCATATTGGATTGGTGAGGCAAGTTGAATATCATTCATCTTCACCATCTAAAATTCTCAACGATAATTTAAAAATTTAAGAATATAAACTTAGGGAACTCTGATAATGTGGCCAGGGTTTTTAGGAGTAACACAATTGATTCTGTTGGTTGCCCCTCTAAATTGAAACTTGAATTTCAAAGATTGTGACCATATAATTCAAATCTGCTTTACTTAATGCATAAATTATGTTTAGCCAAGTGTTTCCACCCTGTGTAAAGTGATAATAATACTGACAGAGGCACTAATTGTAGTATGGCCACTTCAGAAGTTTTTGATGTTTCTGATGAATAAAAAAACAAAAAAATATTTTCCATGTTAATCACACTCTAACAATCATTTGCTTCACACTTGGCAAATATTGCCCAACAATCCTGTAACTATCTTAGGGATTATCAAACAATATTCATCTAACCTTGAGTGAGAAAATTCATAAATAATCTGTACCAAGCTGCAGGTAGTTCTATGTTAAGATCTACCTTCTTTCAAAATAATTTTCAAAATCAAAATAAAGCTGGCAAAAAATCAAATTCCACACCAACTTACTGGGCATTTCCACTTTTCAACTCGCTTTTCCCACATAAGCCGAAGATATGCTTCTCCATCAAAACAGCTCACATGTGTACAGTTCCTTCCACGCACTGGAGTTACCATTCGTGAGCGTGTAAGGGGGCATGTCAGTGAAATGTCAATTACATCTAGTTTTGCTTCAGTGTGAGAAACTAAGCTCTGTATTAACTGTGCTTTAGTTTCTGTTGCAGGGACAGTACTACAAGTCTTGAAGGTTTCCAATATCCCACTAAAACTAGAGAAAAAAAGAAAAATACTTTATATTGGTTTGTTAAAACAAACCACCATAATACCATGGAAATTCCGTTTTGATGGTAAACAAGTGTCAGGGGTGTAAAATAAGGATAGGACTGGACTTCAAGTAACTTTTGGAATAAAAGATGTTAATGTGGTGATAAGGTTAAATATGTGATGATAGAAAAATTTCCAAATGTAAACCTACATTAAGCATATTTCTAGCCAGTTCTACCATTCTTAACCATCTTTTCAAAGTGGTGTCTTTATAATAATAATAATAATAATTTATTAATTTCTAGTGCACATCTTTACATGACTATGATCAGATGCGCATTCCTAAAGTATATATTATATAAGAGAATTGAAGAAACTTAAGTATATATTATGTAAAAAGAGAAAATGCTAATAATATGCTAATAAAATCTCTATTAAGTATATGCAAGACTAAAAAGATAGGTCTTGAGATGAGTTTTAAAACTAGTAACCCATGTGATAAAAAACATTGGTAGAAGTCTGAAGACTACCATAGAAGTTATCTTAAATAGAAACCCCTGAGATGCATTTAAGTTTCTGTTCTTGGAGCTGGTTGTCTATGAAGGTAATTCCTTTTAGTAGGAACTAGTGGGATAAGTGATAGCTTGCTCTAAATTTTGCCCTCTTTTCCTACTGTCATCTTCAATTCTTTTATTTCTGTGGGTCAGTTTCTCCCCATGAGACAAAAACAAAGTTCTTACACAAAAAATTATCATAGGCTTTTTATACAAAGCATAATGAACTATACTTGCTTATGAATAAAGGGGGTAATTTTCTAAAGAAACTGGTGCTACGTTGGCGAGAGAGCATAACGAGGCAATTTGGTATTATCAACTGAATTGATAACATAAATTGGCCACCGTGAAGAGTTTTCAAACCTGACGTTCAAATTGTTGGCTCTCCTTCAGATCAAAGGGCTACGCTCAAAACGTCACCATGAAAACTCTTTACGAAAGCAAATTTACGTTATCAACTCAGTTAATAATACCAAATTACTTTGTTATACTAACTCATTGATAGGTTCTGCGTTTCTGAAGTTCGCACATATTTTTGAATGGCTGCATGAGGAGTCGACAAACTTTTAGTCAAACTTCAGATAAGTTTTATTTTAAGCTCATAGTTGAGTGGTTTACGTAATAGTCTGGGAAAGTCCCGCCTGGACATGGCTGAATATAAATTTGTTCTGTAACGAACTATTAAATTTACCTCACTGGTTTCGGTTTTTGAGATGTCGGCACGGCTGCTAAATTAGAATGGTTAACCCCACGTTTCCCATTAGAACTGGTTTGTTGTGAATTCCCGGAATAAACAATGGGATTCTTTCGCAGACGACCCAGTAGCTCAAAGCAATTATCAAGCAATGTGTCCATTCCTTCATTAAACGAGTTCAAACTGGAAGCCAAGGTAACATGATCAGTGTGAACTGAAACGGAAGGCACATTGCTTGCCGATCCATTAAAGTATATGTGTGTGGAAGACCGAGGCTCCATTTCTGGATGAGGTATTCTGCGTCGGTGACGATGTCTTCGATGTCTTCGATCATGATTATGGGTTTCATTTGAACGATGTCTGTGCGAGGAAGACCTATGTGTTCGAGACTCCCGCTCATTCTCCCGTAGCCGTCGATCTCGCCGCTCGTTTGACATTTTACATATGCACTTTATAGCAGTAGTTTCCTCCAAAGTCAAATTGCTTTTCTTTTAAGCCTTGCAAAAGATATGACAGCAATTTGTTTTCTTTAAATTTACTCTTCCTCCCGCCTCGATCTCATGATGCAACCGTCTTCCGTCTACTAGTTCCCAGTCTTTAGCGACAAGACGGGTTCAACGATGTAATAATGCTATTATTTGCGTGGCTCTGCACTGAAATTAACCAGAAAGAAGCAGGAAAATCAGAGAGACTGGTCCGCAAACACATCGGTAGAATCTGTCCTCCTTACCCTCTCATACATGGGGGACAAGAGAATATAAACAGTTTATATTCTCTTGATGGGGAACCATTTCTCCAAAGTGCCAACAACTGTTCTACATGAATCCCGTTGTAGCTAGTTTAAACCTGAAAGGTACCACCTTGGCTTCACATTTTTATGGTTACAAGGGTCACTGTCCATACCGGAGAACGCGGCCTAGTTGGGAGTTCTTACTATTTTAAACCATTTGTGCGCTGTTACAAAGCGCCGCAAACATACGTTATACAACGCTGGACTGAAATCAATTTCACCATTACTTTACCAGTCGCACATCTTGATTTGTTATCCAGCATCATCCATCTTTGAACCATAAATCCCTAGCGAGTATTACTCTGTGTGGAAAGTCCTGAGAGATCTTGATTATGACTAGTAAAGCACGGGTTGATGAGTAGAATTAATTTGAACGCGATGACGACTTGAAATAATTCACAAACAACTCAGTGACACGCAAATTTAAAATTGCATGAAAGAAACCTGAAAATGAATAAGGCCTAAGACAGGAAATGTGCTATTTTAATGCTCCCTCCATTCAAATATCAACAATGGATGAGAATAAATTGCAGATGGCGCTTGAGTTGATTAAAGCACCCTTTTTTATTGTTTTGTGAAGACCTCAACAGATGACTTGCTATCAAATACAACTTTGTCTATGACAAAGAAAGCAAGTGACCATTTATTGTCCTTAAGAGGATTACCATTATTCAAAATAATTTATAATAGGAAGTGCGATGCAGCTTTGGGGTTCGCAATGGCTTCCTCCTCTATCAAATTGATTAAAGACACAAAGTACGCCTGGCTTAAAAATTAAATTTCTCTGTTAAACTTTCTAGTTTATCATGTGCAACCTCTTAGCTTCCCTGTGATTAAAATCATGTGGTGAATTAAAAATACTGATACAGATAATTTTTTAAGATTATTTCATGATAGAAATAAATGTTGTGAAGCACAATTTGAACGAGACATCAAGCAGCTTGGTTTAGTAAGTCTGTAGTTCGCTTTTACCGCAGCGATAACGCTAGTAGTACTTCCAATTTTAAGATGCCCTGAGGTATGAGAATCTTTCCTCCATCTGATGTAATTAAACAGAATACTGAAAGTAAAAGAAAAAGACAGATACACGGCATGAATCATTATTAAAACTGCGACTCTGTTATGTAGAAAAGAGAAATACGTGACTGACACACAAAAGCCTTAAGTAAATTTTAAAATATATCCAAGCTGAGTTAACATTACCATTTTATTGTATGGTCTCAGGGATTGATAACGGCTCTGATAATTTTCCGATGGAAAAAAAAAACGAAACAAGTCATCATGTTACTTCGTCGACTGTATGACTTGAACTGTATGATATTGAATATTTTTTTCAGCGACCGTAGAGTTGGTGTTTGTCATATAACAAACAAATAAAGCAAGCGAGCAATATTGCCATCCGCTTGATGAATCTGAAGTGCATAGTAAAAGTCATAATGCTGCCATCTAAATGTTAAGTCCCATGAACTACTGTATTTATAGTGAGTTGAATCCAATGACCGCATCTGAGAGTTTCTATGTTGTCTCAACACGAATGTTTTAAAGTTTGTTTCCTCAAAAGCTCTCAGTAGTCAAACGTAAGCAATGACAAAAACCGTGTTCCCAACACTCTCTTTTGTTGAAACGAAGCCGATCGGTGGGGGAAGTGGAATAGATGATAAAAAATCTATTTATTATTGTTTGCGGAAGGTTTCAAATCCTTGATCAGTTTTAACAGTTATTTGAAATCGAGGATTTTTTTCCTGTCTTTTCGCTTGTCATCTGTGACGAAGACACGGAATGATTTCCAAGCAAATTCAAGCGAAGCATTTTCATCTTTCTGTGTATCACGGGTCGATTATACTTTGCCGGTCTCTCTGTGTTGTGTCAAGTGAGTCCACAAGGCGTTTATTTTACAGCTCAGTAACTGACGTTTCCTTCTCGCTTCTTCCTCTGTTGTGAGCCATGTAGTTGACAGATTTCCCTTGTTGGTTTTTTGGTCGCGAACGAAGATGGCAGCAAAGGCAACACAGAACTAACGCCGCCACGACAAAAATAAGAACTCCAAGGAATATTACGATTATCGATATTGATGACAACATCGCGAGCTTGCGAAACGCACTCTGCTTGTGGCTTTGACCGATTGCACGAGAACTTGGCAATTGTCACAGGAAGGAAAATAATTAATTCGGTCATTTCATTAAAGAAATCACTTTTCTGTCATTCTAAATAGGATTCATATAAATAAAAAGTTTACAAAGGAACTTTGAGGCCTTATGATTGGTTGTTGAAGATTCGCCTCCGGTGAACTTCCAGCTATTAGCTTGGACGATAAGAACAATTTACTGTTGACATTAACATGGCCTCAAAATGTTAGAAATTTTTGAATAGGATTACAAAAAAGACGAACAACGAAAATCCATCTTGGCTTAAAATTGGCAAAGTTTTTCTCAATTGAATGTAGTTAGTGTGCCGATTTTTTCGATGTGAATCAAAGGAAAGATTAATGTTAATCCTAAATATTCGTCACCTATTTGCACTCCAATCCTATTTTGGTGTTCCTTCCTGCCTTAGTATTTTATTTATCTATCAGTTTATTTTATTTATTTAAAGTGAAAAGAAAAAATACTTCTCTCGTGGCAGCCGCCCCTCTGATATGTTATTTAATCTTCTTTTTTTACCGGTTTCCTTTTCGCAGTTTATTCCGGCTACGCACAAAGATACTATGGAATTAATTCACTTCATTCGGGCTGTAGAAACTAATCAAACTGTTTCTTGTTTGCTTGCTAAGAATATTTTGTCACCTTCATTGAAACGAACAACTAGTTGTTAACGGCAGGTTCGAACGCATAACCCCAGGCTTTTTTAGTTCCATTAATTTTCTGAGCGCCATTCTAAACACAGCTTTAAGATTCATCATTACACTGTATAATCATGCATAACCATTTTGTGCCTTCGGGTGATTTTAATTTCTTGCAAAATGGCCAAATATCAATGATTCTCTACCTCGACACCTTTGAAAGACATCAAAATTACGAACAGATTCATAACACTGTTGACTGAGGCCAATAATAAAACTCTGAATTTGAGGTCTTCAAACTGATACCCGATCGATTGGTCGCATTGAAAATTAAAAACGATAAAAATACTTTGCGAGGGAAATTTCCAGCTGCAAAAAACAGTCCAAGCCTTGTCCAATTTTAATAGAATACTTTCATCTAGAATTGAATAATACCTTCAATTGAAGGCTTTATTTTTGCATATGTCAATCAAATCGATTACGAACATGAGCTATTTCAATACATAAGTTTTGTGCCCACTTCGGTTGCGAGATGAAATTGACAATTACTATTCTTGAAAGAACACACAAGACAAATGCTGTCACGAATAATAAGAGAACTTGGGCGAAATTGAATTCATGTGTACACGACAGGTGAATCGGCCTCCTGGGTCTGTTTAATTGCCATGAGAGTGAAGTTCTCTTGGCTAAAGTAGAATAATTGATGAGGCACTTCTGGACCGATTGAGGCAAGTTTAATAACACAAGAACCTTACAGTGGGTTGATTTCGATTCCCATACACTGAAAAAGTTCCGTTTTACTGATCATTCTATTTCATCTGCAATGAAATTCTGGCCTTAAACCGTTTTTACCTTGATCACTTGAACTAGGAATCCCACCATCAGGTCCGAGTAAATGAAATTACTGAAAGTTGTGAAATCGAAGGAACTTTCTTGAATATCCTGTTTGGTCTGAGTTATGAAAAAAGACTTTCATAAGTGAACACGATTTAAAATGCATTTTGAAAGAAAGCATGGCATCTGTGTTAATAAACACAATTGATATCTAAACGTTTGGAACACAAAATGTTGTTTTAATTTTGCCTTAACGAAAGACATCCTTTTGAACAATAAAATGAACATGATACTGCAAATAAACTGGATCCATACAGACAAAATCTTTTGTGAATTATTCTATCCTACTGTTCACAAATAAACCCTTTTACTTGGTCATAAATAAACTATGTAAATTTTTTTAATTAACTTGTAACAGACCCATAATAACATGAAATCACGCAAGATGGATTTTCATTTACATCCAAAAAATTCATATCTAAAATTTTTTTTAAAAATTAGATGCAATTGATTGATTTCAAAAGAAGAAATTACCACACCCTCAGAATGTTCCCGCAATCTTTAAACCCTTCAAAATCTCATATAAGAGATTTATCATGTTACCATACACTACCTTTGATAACCTACTAGCAATCAAATGAAGGCGGCCGCAAAATATTGTGCAGCCAAGTAAACACCTTTTTATCAGAGTTAAGAAACATTTCTTCAAGCGATTAGACACCTACCAAAGACGGAGATGCCAAATTTTCACTCAGAAATGTGGCAGGCGTGAAGCTCTCTATAATGTCAGAAAAAGTGTTTTCATTTTGCTTTATCTTAAAATCTTTAACTGACTATGCTATTCCAACGACGGAGATGCCAAATTTTCACTCAGAAATGTGGCAAGCGTGAAGCTCTCTATAATGTCAAAAAAGTGTTTTCATTTTGCTTTATCTTAAAATCTTTGACTGACTATGCTATTCCACCGCTTGTGAAAAAAATAAAATAATAATTAAAAAAAAAAGGTAAAGAGAGAGAAACTTTACGCTTGAAATGTTTCGAAAATTTATCGAGAGTGAAGGGTTTTTTTTGAACAACTCAAAATTCAAAATTTTCCTTAGATCCACAGCTGCGATTTTGAAGGGTTCTTTCCGGCCTCAATTTCTTCACAAAATCTCGAGCAGCTGAATTTGGACAAAGAAAAACTACTTTGGTGATTTAAGCATAGTGTAAACAAAGAGCTTGTGTCTCTTAATGTGAGTCCCGGCAACAGCGACGAGTGCCACATAGGTATAAACTTATAAGTATATAAATCCCGAGGCTAGATACTTCTTATA